TCGCTAATTTTAAAAACATGATATGTAAATTGAGACATCATAGAACGATATTAGTAATCAGTTTCTACATCGTCAAAATAATATCCCTATTGTCTAAATCTGCTCATGTTCATATTTCCAGGATAAATTTTATGAAATTTGATTTGACACTGCTTTTAATTATGATCCCGAGCTGTAAACAATTTGCAACCAATTTATAGTAGAACATTACGAAAATGAATGTAAAAATGACGCTGCTATAAAGTGTGAATGCCAAACACAACCTGACATTTGACCGTTTGACGTCATGTCGTACCTTTAACAAACCTCCAAAAATCGTCACACCTGGTGAGAAACGTTCGACCTCCACCCCCGGTCGTTCGCCCGATATTGGCCCTCGATGACGTCTCGGCCACCGTGACGTCCGCACCCGCAGCCGCCTGCGATCCTTCCCGTTTCGACCCATCGCATCGTCCGAATTATGCACGTGCACACCTGCCATTATTAAAACCGTATAACGTTACCCCGACCACCTGTCGTCGTTTTCCCGTTTTTTCGTCAAAAATGTCACAAGAATGCCGACTTCACGCCGCACGCACATCCTAATTGGGCGCGTCGAACAGCTGCTCATCAACCAATCAAAACTGCCATTACTATCGAAAAGCGGCACTAAATTAAAACATAAACAAGTTTTTTTCCTTCCGAGATCCTATTAGCGCTTGATCGATGGGTGTCGCTTTTTTCGTGGTTTGCACGGTCTTGATTTTGGATTATGAAATTTTTTTTGTGTTAATGTGACGTAACGCGATCCACATAATAGCTCTCCCATTTTAATCAATCGCCAGCAACGCACCCGTGAAGAGCATTCTCTCGTTTCAACCAATTGTTATGTGGTATTTTTTTACAGTTTTTCTCTTTTGCTGTAGTTCCTCCGTCCTCTCATGTGTTCGTGTGTGCGTGTTTGTGCCTCGTACATTGTTTACGGTTTGTTCCCTTGTTGTTGTTCGTGCTCTTCTGGGGTAAGGACGAGTGAATTAAGGAGATTTTGTTTGCTTCGATTTTTTTTTCTTTTATTTATTTATCTAATTGCGTAGCACTAACTTTGTGGTTTATTGAACTTTGTACGCTTGCTGCCAATTTGAGTACCAGTGGCGGATTTTTCGGATACTTCACCAAAAGCGCGCTTCGGAGAACGCTATTTTTACTCTATTGACGTATTAAAAGCACATTATGTTGCCATTACAAACTATTAACTACCAGTCTGTTGATTTGTCTTGGTGCCAGAAAGAATTCGGCCCTCGAGCTCGATTTATTTGTCCCGTTTTTGGGTTTTTTCGAATTTCGGTATTCGTCGATGAATCAAATATGCAAGGTCGCGTCAAGGTTCATTTAGAACAATTAGAGATGTTTGTGCAATTCACGATTCGTGTCGTCGAGAGGTATTATCAAGATTCTTATGTGTGTCGTGTAAATTTTTAGCGTGTCTTGATAATTAGAATTTATTCGACCTTCGCAAGGTTTTTTCGGGGTTACAGTTCGGGCAAAAACACGGGTCTTGCAATTGGCGTAAACAAAATTGTTTATTGGAAAAAGCCTATCGCTGACCTGCTGTAACCTGAGAAAGAGCTTGGCCGTGTTTATGGAAGAATGGATTTTTTTTTTTCGATTTTGACGAGTTCGTGTCAAAGTAATTAGAGCGGTTTGGATCGCACTAGATCGCTATTGTGACGGATGTACTTACCAGAAACGGTGATAAACTGGTTTAGGTTGGTAATTGTTGGAATATTACAAATGTAAATTTACAGACTTGACAACCAAGATTTATTACTTTGATTTGCATTAGACAATAATGGAGATTTATGTTTTTTCAATTTTTTATATTGGTAAATTCTTAAGTAATGTGGTTGCGATTATGTAAATTTACAAATTTTAACACCCGGTTTAAAATTCTATTTGTTAATTTCACCCGTAAGCCCAAAGTTAGTAATTTAAATACAATCTTCTACCATCACGGACTCGCGAGATTCATTCAAATTATGTACTTCAAAAACAAAATAAGAGATCCCCAAAATTCTTTAAAATTACTTGAAATACCAGATACAAGGAGTCCCCGAGATTATTTCAAATTACGTACTTCAAAAACAATACACAGAAAAATCCCTGAGATTCGTTCAACTATTTCAAAGATTGTCTATCATATTGCATAAAACTATATTCCAGTTTTATTGTGTGGACTATTCTAAATGTAAATTTGGAATATTTAAACTCAAATAATTTTAACAGTTACCATGGCCGTCTTAAATTGCTCGAATTGATTAGATCTAATTGACAAGTCTTATTGACAACTAGACAGACCCTGAATGTAACGACGTCCCTGTAACCCTAATTTAGCACCTGCCACTTCCCCCTCCCTTCCCGCATTCCCAACTCATCCGTCAGCCGTCTCCCAATCCCGATCCCGAAATTATAAAATCCGCATACTTCACGGACAATTTCGTCTTTTATTATCCACGGCCGACACACGTCCAACGGTCGTAAAACTCGCTCGCAAAATTGATTCTCACTCCGTGTACTTTATTATGACGCGTCGGTCGAGACGTTCACATTCTAACCACTCACGTTCTCTAAAAGCCTCATATTTGCATGCTCTCCTCGATAACTCGCTCGTATACATTTAAATGTTTTATTACGTGTGTAACTGTTCCTTGCGGTATTTACGTGTGGTCGATCTAAAAAAACGAAAAGCAAATAGTTTCAAGGGAATTGCATGTCTAGGTGGATACCCTCGTCGACCGCAATGTAATCACAATGCGACACTAAATGTTTGTAAATTGTGGGTTGCGCATTCCCAATCCGCCACTGAGTAAGCAGGTTTCGAAGAATTTTCGAGATTTTGGTTTTTGTAATACGCTAATGCGCTTTTAACACTGTTTAGCAGCGAGCGAGCTTGACGTGGAGGCGCTCTTGTGCATTTTAACGTCGTTGCAGAGATCTAAGAATAACGAGTGGCCACCACCTTGTCTCACTCCGAAAAATACACAAGAGCGGCTACAGCAAGTAAGGTTGTATTAACGTGGCGTTTTTTTGCAGCACCTCAAAGATGAGCTCGTGGAGGTCGTCTCCGAGATGGAGTCGCTCGACTCCGGCGAGGACGGCAAGAACAGCAACAAGACCAAAATGATGTCGATAGGCCGCAAGAAGTTCAATATGGACCCGAAGAAGGGCATCGAGTACCTGATCGAAAAGGGGCTTTTGCAGAACACGCCGGAGAGCGTCGCACAGTTCCTTCACAAAGGCGAAGGTTTGAATAAGACGGCCATCGGCGACTACCTCGGCGAGAAGAACGACTTCAACGAAAAAGTCCTCCAGGCATTCGTCGATCTCCACGATTTCACTGATCTCATACTAGTCCAAGCCTTGAGGCAGTTCTTGTGGAGTTTTCGGCTGCCAGGGGAAGCACAGAAGATCGATAGGATGATGGAATGTTTCGCGAAACGATACTGCGACTGCCAGGGGGAAAATAACATTTTCGAGAATTCCGATACTTGTTACGTGCTTTCGTTCGCGATTATTATGCTTAATACGAGTTTACATAATCCCAGCGTCAAAGATAAACCCACGATCGAACAGTTTATTAATATGAACAGAGGGATTAACCAGGGACAGGATCTGCCGAGGGAATTACTAGTGGTAAGGGCTAGTATTAATTAATTCGAGGAGTGGACGTTACATTTGTGGTTTTCTCTTGTAGGGTTTGTACGACAGCATCAAGGCCGAGCCTTTTAAGATCCCGGAGGACGACGGCAACGACCTGATGCACACGTTCTTTAACCCGGACAAGGAAGGGTGGCTGTGGAAGCAAGGGGGTCGTTACAAGAGTTGGAAGCGGCGCTGGTTCATCCTGAACGACAATTGCCTGTATTATTTCGAATATACGACAGATAAGGAGCCTCGGGGTATAATCCCCTTGGAAAACATATCAGTGAGAGAGTGCACGGACCGTCAAAAACAGCATTGTTTCGAGTTGTACGCGAGTGGCGGGGCGGACTTTATCAAAGCATGTAAGACGGACTCTGAAGGGAAAGTGGTCGAGGGTAAACATACAGTGTATAGGATGTCGGCGAGTAGCGAAGAAGAAAAGAACGAGTGGATGCAACGATTGAAACAGAGTATTAGCCATAATCCGTTCTACGACATGCTGGCTAACAGAAAGCGAAAAGCGCAGCATCATAATTAATGTTCTCTGGGAAAATATAAATAAAGTTTTTGATAAGAGTGTTTTTGAGTTGGGGATTCAGTCAATTATAGCAAAAACTTAGACTTGAAAGGGTGAGGTTTAATTTCTGTGAAATTAAATGGGGTTTTTGTGATATTTTTTTCAAGCGACTGAATGGAAAGATTACAATCTCGTTAATTTTAATTCCTAGTCCTGTTCTTATTTATTTCTTGTTTTACACGTGCGGGGCTTCTCCCATTGTTTGTGTATCTATTTATTTAGGATGGTTGCAGTTTTGTACATATGTATATTTCGTTGCAACAGCTGTAAATAAGGTGTATTTGTTTTGTATTATAGATTTGTGTAAATAAATTTACAAATTTCTAACGCGTTTGTATTTTTTGAGGTTAGGGCTTTCCCGCCCGAACACCCGATTCAAGTTTATTGTGTCGTAACTACGCCACTGGAACTGGCAACTTCTTCTTCGACATGTTAGTACCTGGGTGACTTGACTTACTATTTTATTCATTTTAATTTTTTTAACCAAGTGAAATAAATGTTGAAAACTTCAAGCGATTTTAATGTAAAAGATTACCTTCACGAGTCGCCCATGTCATTGTTTGTTTTTTAGTTTAGGGATTTTTGATTTCTAACCGAAATGTTGTTATAATCATTTTTTGGCAATTATTATTCAAGACACAAGTTTGTGACGATCCTAAAGGATTCTTTAACATTTCTGCGCAAATGGGGATCGTCTACTTTAATTTTTAACAACAAATTCAACGAAATTGCTTACCGGACACAATTCCACTACGGTAGTGGTGCCCCTGACTGTCGATAGAAAAGCGCTCAATTTTCATATTTCCAAACACTTCCTTTAGGAGTGTTTTTCACAACAATTAAACCCTTCCAAAGAAAAGAAACGCTATGCCACGGTAGGCCAAGCACAAATTCGGCACTTTTCAATTCTGGTAATACTTTTTTGAATACACAATTATAACCTCACTCATGGACTTCCTAGAATCGTTATGAAATCTTGCGATAACAATGGATGAATCTGATCTCGAAAAATGGTGCGCAATGCTGGAGTCCAACAAAGTGAGAACTCGAAAAGAAGCATGCACCGAATTCGCCGAACACCTCCAACAAAAATCAACAATTGACTTCTTAAACAATAGTGTTACAGACTGGTGGAAAGCAATACTAGGTTCTATTTTCAGATGTATGGATGAGGTGAAACACTGGTCAGTCGGGATTGCGGTTGGTAAAGTTGTTGTTTTTTAGGACCACCAAAAGCAACTCGATGACCTTAAAAAGAAAAGTAAAGAATGCTCTCATAGTCCCCCCAGTGCTGACTTGTTCACGCTTTTTGTGCGAATAGCGGTGAAAGAGGAGAGTCCTTTGGACTATTTGAGCCTGTTGCAACATATTGTCGAGTGGTTGGGCAGTCACTCCAAAAAACAATTCCATCACCAGTTTTTGAAGATTTTGTCAGAGAGTCTTCTCATTAATTCAAAAATAAGGCATTCTTTGGAAGAGCGTGATTGGGTTTCTTTGTATTTTGTGTTGCAGAAGTTGTGTGGGGAGGCGTCTGTGTTGGATAATGAGCAAATTATATGTCTAGCACTGGTTGTCAAATTGGGGCCTTTACATAAATTTCCTGTGATGATTTTTAGACAGCAGTTTGAATATGTGGTCAAACTGTGTAAAATGGTAACTTCTAAGTCACCCAGGCCCCAACAAGACGCAGTTTTAGATATTGTGTACAACTTTTGTATATATGTAAGTTGTTTTTTATGTGTTTCACTTTCTTATTGTTTTGGTATTTTAGACAGCTAAGGATAATAGAATGGCTTGTTGTAAACTAGGAGAGGAAATTTTTGATAATTTGGTTGATTTATATCAAAGAAATGAAAATGAAGATAGGATGAAAACCAGTTTAATTAATTTTTTCCTTCTACAAGTAGCCCTTCACAACCCTAAAGGTGTACAAGAGAATCATCCAGCAGCATATGCTGTTTCTTGGGAATTTTGGAAGAACTGTCTTTGCAGCATTTATGATTTACTTAGTAACGAAATAGACGCGAATTTGTCTCTTACAGTGAAAAATCGGGCACTCTTCATCACTCATGACGATATAAATGAGTTGTTTGATGGTTTTGTTAAACTTTTTGTTGAAGTTTGTAGACAGGTATAGCCGAATTATTCTTCTATTTTTTCTGATGGTTAAGTTAAATTTTTAGTTGTTTATTGCCGACGTTGTCTCTTTGGACGAACCTCCAAGGAAACGTCCACGAACTGAACTTACAATAACTAGCTTGATTAATAAGATTATGGAAACGAAGTCGTGGCCTTGGTGAGTGTCTTATGTATAGATGGCGCCACTAAATAACTGTCGCCATTTTAGGATTAATCTCACTTATCCGCTAATTGAAACATATCCGGACATGATCAGTGGTGACAATTACGTCGTGATTCTTAAAAACTTGTCGATTTTACAGTCAGAATGTAAAGACATGGATATGTTACACCACATTCATAAAGCTTTTATTGTTCTTTTAAAAACTGACAGTTTGGTGAATGTTGAGAAATCACGTACTGATGCTTTATGGAGAAGTGTCGCAGATGTCGCTCTACGGTAATTCATTAAAATACCACAGCAATAATGCATTGAGTTAATTTTTAGTTTGATCAATCAAAAAGATGAAAACATTCAAACGCTTATACAACTTTTAATTATAAATAAGCATCTAACGTCTCACGTCCAGTTAATGCAGAATTTCCGACCAGGTGGCGCTTTAAGTGTTGATGAACATAACCTCAAGACTGTAGATGTCGCTTTTCAAAATTTCGCAATTTTGCAAGTTGATAGATGTTTGAAAAAACAAACCATAAACTGGATTTTGGACACAAATTCAGAACAATTTTGTCGTAGTGAAGTCGCCGAAATTCTCACTTGTCTACTTTTAAAACAATGGCCGAACCGTGAGTTTACGTTCACAAAGATTAAAAAACCATTTGAAGATATTGAAAATGTGTATTTTGATGTTTGTTTTGAAAGTCTTCTTGTGAATTTTGACGAGAAGGAAAAGAAGGAAGATAATGTTTATTGTGTGGATCAAAGTTTGCTTTATGATTTAAGTGAGTCGTTAAAAAGTCTTCTCAGTAATTTAGATACAAGAAAAAAATCGCAAGATTATTTTAATGTTTGTATACTTGTATTCAACGTCATAAGCTTTGTACACAAATACAAATTGATTGAAAGTGACGTTGTCACCGATTCTGCGTTGTATAAAATATTCGAGACGAGTATGAAGAACTTGTTTGATAATGTTTCCTTTAATATGGCGAAACCGGATGAGAGACATATATCAAGGTTAACAAAACTCGCACGAGTTCTCATGGTTTTCTTTAGTTCGAAAAATAGTGACTTTGTTACGAAAAAACTGAGGGTTTTTGTACCTGCGGACCTCATTAGAGATATGTTTGCAATCTTAAAGATAAAAGGTAATGGGTTGTTGAATCTTATTTGTTTTTATATGTTGGTACTTATTTTAGATGCCCCAGGTGATATTGTAGCACTAAAAAAGTGCATAGTGGAAATCATCGTCAATTACTCATGTTTGCCTAATCTAGATTCTGATATTCAAAATAGAGCACTAAAGGCCCTCGTCGGTTTTAATTATGACTGCCACTGTGACAATGATTATGAATTAGTTATAACCCTTATGCATGCACTCAAGTCGTGTAAGCCGAAAAATCTACCTGTAAAAGGTTTGTTGTCGCTTTTTGATATTCTACAAAAATTCTGTGAAGTCCGTCATTACTGTACCGTTAGTGTGGTTGAATTTTTAGATTTCTTTTATGGTAAGATTTTTATTTTTGCATTTTTTGTGTTAGCTTTCTTTTCGCAGATGTTTATCCGTTAGTGGTTGAGTCAAATTCTCAAGATTGTCAAAGTAACTACGTTCAAATTCTTCATCCATTTTATGTTGAAAAATTGTCTTATGAACCTTCCGTTTCTATAAAGTTGTTGAAGTGTATGGGATTGCTCTTTGAGGTAACTTATGATAGTTTGCGAAACATGCGTATAGATGGGTCTTTTGTAGTTGGAACCATCGGCTATATACACCAAGTGGGACAACGAAGAAATAGTTCTAAAAATACCAGAATTTTTAAATAGCGATTACCAAGAAGTGCGTTTCTTTGCAATTAAAACTCTTGCTTTAGTCTTCAGAGTTTCTTCAAAATTGCGACTATTAACACTTTTCCACAGACAAGAGATTATCTTTTCGAAAATTTCAGACATGGTAATCTTTATTTCTAAATCATTATGTTTGATACCATGTTCATGTTTTTAGAGTCTGAAAGTTCTAGAAATTGAAGGTAACGTCGACGAGAACAGACTTCTAGACGAAGTAGTTGCGAGATCGTCAAGTATTTTACACACTTTTGCTTCTATTATGATCGCTTCAAACTTATGGATCGAAGAATCTCTCTTTACTTTATTGAAAATTATATGTGATAAAAATTTAGGTACGTTTTTACAACAACAAAAAAATCGCTTTAACATTTTTTTATAGGTTTAAGTTTGACTGAAACTGTTATAGAAATTGTGGCTAAGACACTGGGTTTTAATTCAGGTTTAAAGTTTCTGGAGAAATATTTAGTAGGTTTAGTAAATCGTTGGAAATCGCACATCGACGATTTTCCATTCCGCCTCTTCAAATGTGCTTCGAAAATCGACTTATATAGCAAGTATTGGTCTGTGCTTGCTCACATCTTTGTTGCTAATTCAGAAAACAGCCTGAATCAAGTAGCTTCCAGTTTGGGAAAGTCGCTACAGAAACTAATAGAGGTGTATTTATAAATTCATGAGGTGTGTGTGACATAAAATAAACAATGAAATCATTGTAGGATACTTCTCCAAAATTACTGAGTTACTGCATTTGTCAAGAGGTCTCCGACCTTTCTTCCGTTACGCAAAACAAACTTTATCAACTTTTACACGACACATTAGGTGGCTCCAAAGCTCGACAGATCTTCAAAAACAACATTGAAGAAATAATTCTCTGCCTGACTGGCTTCATTTCGGACGAAAAAGATTTCGAAAGTAGTTTTGGCTGCAATATCATCTTCCCGAAGGTTACAGAAGTTCGTCTAACAGTGTCAGAGTTCCAAGACTGTTTACAATTTATCGAGGTACTTATATAACTTTCGTCGTATCTAAACTTCTTTCATTCACTTTCAGGCCACTCTTTATGATGAAGAGTCAGTAATAACCACCTTAATTCAAAAGAACACTGAAAAAATCCACTTTATTTTACTCCAACTCAATCTAAGAGTGTATGGAGTCCTTGCTCTAGAAGACAAACTTCGTTCCTTCCACCTCTTCTCTCTAGTAGCCTCTCTGTGTATCAAAAACGTGCTCTCCGAACCCTCCTTGCAACCTTACTTAATCCGCGACTTAACTCACACCCTTCTTCACCACATCAAGAACCACAAGAGCCAACCAGAGCTCAGCGAAATGAGTTGCAAATTTTTCAAAACGTTTCTCCGCACGATACTCCCAACTTTATCAACCGTGCTAAGTCACTTCTTCTTGATAATAATAAGCCGACTTAAGTACGTAGCGTTAGAAAATTGTACAGTGAGCGCCCTCTGCGTGGACATGATCGAACTCTTAATCGTCGAACACAAAAACTTATTTGTAGCCGAAATTTCGAAGCTCGATTCAATCCCAGACCTCCCCCAATTCGAGAAAATTTTTTCGGTCCATCGTTCCCTCAAGTACGACGACAGAAAAGTCACCCTCGAAGACGAAATCGTCCAGTTTCTCGACTTCAGCCGAAATATCGAAAGCCTGGACGAGTGCGAGCACAGCATAACCCACTTGAAACGAGTGATAATCACGAAGAAAGACGAACTGAAAGAAATGTACTCACAACTACGACAAACCAGAGGGTTTTCCGAAGATTGCAAAAACTCCAACTTGCACAAACTCATCTGTTTGTTGATAACTCTAAGTTGCTCGAATAACAAAAACGTCAGTACTGAAGCCGCAAAGTGCCTAGGCGAAATCGGTCCAGCGGACTTGGCGACCTTAATCCTGCAACCAGAAAAAGATATCGCGGACCCAAAATGGACGCCCTTCGAGCTATTGCTCGGTTGCGCCATCTCTCTTCTTCTGAAATATTTAGTCGATGCGGATGTCACGGTGATTAAGACAGCATCCGTGGCTCTTTTCCAAATTCTGTCGACAAAAGAAAGTCGCAAGGTCATCCGGTCGAACGACGATTTTGGTTTCGGCGCCATTAATTCGACTTACTTGACGCCATTTTGTGCCATAGAGTTACGAAGCGGGAATTTTAAAGTTGCCATCAACGGCGACTACTTTACGAAAACCCTACGGGATGACGCGTTGTGGATACCTGATGATGATTGTCATGAAACGTGGGTGACGAAGTTGGTCTGCGCTTTTTTGGAAAGTTTCGAAGACAGGATGTTTTTTGATAATTTCGTCGAAGTGTGTAAGCGAAAGGTGAGTCTGACTTAAGTCATGGTAGCCATTTAAGTAACCATTGTAGGTTGAATTTTGCGAGCAAATTTTTCCCGTCATTGTTTATACGGTTCTGTTTTTAAATAATTTTTCCTTCACTACTATCATTGCAAGTCAAATCGAGATCTTTTTTAATAAACACTGGGAAATCACCGTGAAGAACCAAAATAGTGTTAACATTACGACAAACAAATCGTCAGTGCAGACGATGTTGAATGTGGTTCATTTCGTTCGCTTACAAAGAAGCGTGAGGAAGAGGTAAGAAAATCGAAACGTGACTAGAAAAAATTCAAGTTGCTGCGTTTTAGAGAAATTAAGGATATGAAATTGGACTACTTGAGGGTTGCTAAAGCGGCCCACTTTTGCACCGCTCATTTCACGGCACTCTTATACGCAGAAATTTGGTGTCAGGAACAAATTAACCAATCACCGAACGACTACGCCCTCTCTACGTGCAGTTACACTAAGCTCGACCTTATTTACGAAAAGGTCGATGAAGTTACCGGAAACGCCTTACAACATATTCTGAGGCAGGCATACAAGTGTGTGGGCGAAAGCGACGCCCTCTTGGGCTGTGGCACCTCCCATCTGCTAAGCCCCGCCTCCCGAGTCGACCACTACAAAGAACTTGGCCGCTGGGATCAAGTAATCCAGTACTACGAACGCCAAGTGTCTTTAGAACGCAACGTAGCCCTACGCCCTCTCGTGGATAGTTTGAAAAGCGCAAACTTATACCAACTCTCGTTGTACTGTTCCTCGGACGAACCCAACTACGAGAGTTTGTGGCGTTTGGGCCAGTGGAGCTACACAACGAGTGACTCAAGTCACAACACGTACGACAAGTGTAAATTCCACGTACTTAAAGCACTTTACGAGTGTGAAGAGTTCACTTTCAAGAAAGCCATGGACGATGGCAGGGTTTGCGTGGTGGACGATTTCATGGGTGCCAACATGGAAAGCATTAAAAATTTCTATAACACGTTCGCGAAGCTGCAGTGTTTGAAAGAAATCGAAGAGTATGCGGACGCGACCAAATCCGATCTGTTTGTAGATTTGTTGTTAAAGTGGAAAGTACAGGACGAGATTATCTGCAACGACTACCAGTACGTAGAGCCCGTACAAGCTCAAAGAATCCTCTTGTTTACTGAATTGTTGAAAAAACAACCCAACACTAGTTTGAGGGACGCCATCGTTGACACTATCATTGGTTACGCACGTAAGTATAGACACTTCTCAGTCGTCTCGTGCTTAAGTAAAGTTGACAGAGTGCGCACGCGTCGAAGGCAACTCCCATGTGGCTTTCCGAATCTTGGAAAAATTGCGTCTCCTTCCCTTCACCAACGACATCGACGCAAAAGTTAAACTCGAAGAGGCTCAGTTGTGTTGGAGCATACAAGACGTGGTGACCGCCAAATGCATCCTCAGGCAGCTGTGCGGCAGCGAGAACGTCAACCCGAGGTGAGTGTGGCGGCCGTTTACCCACAAATCTTGAATGTGAGATGCAGGGTGCACGCGATGGCTTTGAAACTAACCGGCTCGTGGATGGTAGCGAGTTCGTCCGAAAATCGACAAACCATCATCGACAACTACTTCCAAAAATCGCTGAATTTGATCAAGAGCGACAGCGATAAGACGGAAGAAGACGAGAAGTCGATCGTGGACACGTTCGACCAGTTGGCGAAGTTTGCCGATCAGGGGTACCAAGAGGTGATGTCGCATATTAAATCGGACGTTTTCCAAAAAAAGAAGGAGAGTATAGTGAAGTCGAGAAATCTGGTGAAGGGTATTAATCTGAAGGACACTACGAAGGACTTGAAGAAGGCCATCATGATTAAGACGAAGTTCAGTTGCATTGACGAAATGGAGATTCACAACATCGAGACGGATAAAAATAATCTGTTGTTGCTTGCGCTCAAGTATGTGGTGTTTTTTTCGTATGTGTGTGTCTATGTGATACTTTCCAGGTACTACCTGCGCATTTTGGTCCGGAGCGACAACCACAACATGACCATCTTCCGCCTCTTCTCCCTCCTTCTCGAGAATCGTGACAACAACATCGTCAAATTCGTCCTCGAGAAGGACCTTCTCAAAATACCTACCTACAAGTTCATCAATATTTTGCCTCAAATAATCCCCCACATCTCCAACGCGTCGAACGACGTTTTCAGCCAGACCGTGAACAGCTTGATCGAGAAATGTGCCGAAGACCACCCCTACCACACCCTTCCTTTAATCTTAGCTCTCGCTCTATCAAACAAAGACCGCGAATACTCGTCAGAATCGAAGGCCGCCGTCAACGATACTCGCACCCAAACCGCCACAGCCATCCTCACAAAGCTGAAAGAACACCGAAAACTCTCAAAATTAATCGAAAAAATGGAGTTCGTGTCGGAGGCGGTGATCGCACTAGCGTACTATCAAGGTAGCGGCGACCGATCAAGCTACAAAATCCCCGCGAACTCAAAAATCCGCAAAATCCAAAACTGGGGGGAAATCCTCCTCCCTACGGTCATCCTCCCGGTGGACAAATCCTGTACCTACGAACGCATAACCGGGATTCATAAATTCAACGACGTGTACCACAACGTGGGTGGAATCAACGCCCCCAAACGCATCACGTGCGTCGGCACCGACGGCATCACCAGGAGTCAGTTGATTAAAGGCCAAGACGACCTGCGCCAAGACGCCGTTATGCAGCAGGTCTTCACAATCATGAACAGCCTCCTCACCGTCAACAAACAAACGAAAAATCTGCGAATCCGCACTTACAAGATCGTCCCGTTGTCGATGAGGAGTGGCATTTTGGAGTGGGTGGAGAACACGATGCCGATTGGCGAATACCTGATAGGGGAGGGGAGCGACGGTGGGGCGCACTCCAAGTTCCGCCCGATGGACAAGAGGCCGATTTCGTGCCGCAACGAGTTCAAGGTAAGCCACGCCCTTTTTAAACCACGCCTCATTGGTTTTTGTAGAACGCTTCTAATAAATCGAACGAAGGAAGATTGCGTGCTTTTAATAAAATATGCGAGTCCATAAAACCGATCTTTCACAAGTTTTTCGAAACGAGTTTTCCTCAGCCGACTGTGTGGTACGAGCGCAGGCGTACGTACACTCACAGTGTTGCCACGTCGAGCATGTGCGGGTACATTCTAGGGATAGGAGATCGGCACTTAAACAACATTCTCATTGATAAAAATACTGCCGAAGTTGTACACATCGATTTTGGTAAGTTTAAAGGTTGTAGGGGTTTTATTGCTTACGGTGTTCGTAGGAATTGCTTTTGAGCAAGGGAGGGTGCTGCCAACCCCGGAAACCGTTCCTTTCAGGTTAACTAGAGATATAGTGGACGGAATGGGCGTGTCCGGAGTGGAAGGAGTGTTTCGCAGGTGCGGTAGCCGTTTACCCGTTTATGCTTTAAACTGAGTTTGTGGTGTAGGTCGTGTGAAAAAACGGTGGAGGTGTTAAGGCTTCACTATCAAACGATAATTACTATTCTGGAGGTGCTCTTGTACGATCCGTTGTACGACTGGACGGTGAGTACCGCCGAGGCTAACAAGAGGCAGAAGGACGAACAGGACGAAGCCGAGTTCAGTGGGTCGCAGAACGGTAGTGATGAGAAGGCCTCAAGGAGTGAGTTGACGAGTCACGAAATTCGTGTTTGATTTTGTTTTGTAGATGTTAATGAGACTGCTGAACGTGCTTTACTACGATTGAAGGCAAAGCTTCAGGGTACCGAAAGCGGCAAGTCCACGACTGTTGAGCATCAAGTTGGTACCTTGGTCCAGCAAGCCGTGGATCCTTCCAATTTGTCAAAGTTGTTCTATGGTTGGCAACCTTATTTATAAGTTTATGTTGCATTTTCTATATTTTAATGTGTTCTACAATTATTATACATTCATATTTTAATAAATAATAATTTGAAAAATTGTGAGAATATAGGTAATATCAAAGGCGGGCGGACTCCAAATCAGGCGATTTGATTTCAGTATCTCTGGAAATACGGTAATTTCCCCATAACAAAATCTCCAAAATCCAGCTGACAACGTGACGATATCCAGATAAAATAGAAAAAATTGGAAACATTTTGTAATAAATTATAGGTGGCTCACGCCACACCTGACGTGTCATGACCGTCAACCTCGGTTTGCTCGTCGTGCTGTTGTCCTCAATCGTGACTTTGTCACAGTCGTCCAAAACCCATGGTATTCCCCAAATTTCGCTCACTCAGCACAGACAAATTTCTCCGTAGGGAAGCGTTTTATCGACGAACAAAAATACAATTCGGACCAGAACGTCAAAACACTCGTGAATAACAACAACGGAGTTCGAGTACCGCCAGGGTACCATTCCTATTCCGTAATCTTCATGAAAAAACCCAACTTTGATAAGGTTCACGACCAACCACTTACCAATGACCCCAAAGGTACACCCATTTTTGCTTCTTCCTTGTAACTGTCACCAGATTTCAGCTTAAATAGTTCCTTTTTTGCCTCTGGTACCATTTTAAACACGCGCTGGGTCCTAACGAGGGCTAAACCCACCGCGTACTACTCCAAAGACAGTTACTGGATAATCTCCCAGCAGGCTATTTCAACTCCAGTCGACGAAGACTTTCTCAAGAAACATGAAGCAGACTTCGTTTTGATCCATCCAGGTAAAATCAAACACTTGGTACGTTTTTGAGTGTCTGTGTAGAGCATCAACCGGGAGACCCAGAAACCGACGTGGCTTTGGTGCGAATGTCCAAACCCTTTGAGTTTAATCTGGAAACGCGGAGTGCCGACTTAGGTTTCGACGAACCTCCGCCTTTGGAAAATTGTAAGGCGGTGGTGTGGTCGTGGTTCTTCGAAAAAGACGACAAGAAAGTCGCCAGTATGGAGAGAGGGGAAGTCAGCTTAAATGTTAAAAATCAAGATTGTCCGGACCTGGGTAACAACTCCATTTGTTTATCGTCTGGAAGCAAGCAACAACCGTGTGGTATCAATTCGGGTGCTCCTGTAGTGTGTGGAGCTATTCTAGTAGGGATCTACACCGGTACAAAAAATGGTACCATTTGCGAACTTACTCCTTCACCAGGGTTGACTGCTTTGAGAGTAGACCAAGGCCAGACACGTGATTGGTTGAACGACGTTTTTGCCTCTCCTGACTCGTTCCTACGTCCAGAGGATGACGACGGAGTTGTAGTAAAAACCTGTAGTGCGAACTACACTACAGGACACTTTATCTTGTTAATACTTTTATTGAAATACATTATTTAGCAAGGAATTTTTTTTAAAACGCAAATTCCATCAAGTGCAGGGGCTACCACTTCGTACTCTCCGTTCGCCAGTTCTGCTCTTTCGTTGGCACAGAGAAGAACAGGCGTGGTGTGAGTGTGGATCCCTGCGATGGTCTTGGGGTCTCCGGCCTTTCCCACCGTGTCTACGGCTTGACCAACACGGACTGTCACCGAGGTAGAATTCAGGTTTTCGTCTAGGGTAAGCAACCATCGTGGTTGCATAGCCGCTGCTAGACTGTAAAGGAGGTAGTGGCTCCGACCCAAGATGAGCGAATGCGGCTTAAGTAAAGCCACCAAAGGTATCAAAATACCTAGAAAAGTTGGCCTACAGGAAGATTATTGGGACACTCATCTCACCTGCCATTGCCACAGGGTCCACAAGCTGCCGATCCGTGTGTAAAGGGTTCAGAGTCATGGTACCTTTACCCATGTGAACCAAGCCCTGGGAGATGCGTACCATGAAGAGCTGAAAAGGGTTCTTGGCATGGTAGAGCGCAAGCTGGCGCAAAGTCACCGCCAGTCGAGCGTTATTAGTACCAGCTCCTATATAACCTAGACCGAAGATGGCATTGCAGGCCACATCGTCATCCACGTCGTGCGAGTACTTGGTCAAGACGTTAATCACGTTGGGTTGAGGATCGCTGATTGAGGTTAGAGCGATCGCTAGAGGTACCGCTTTGCGTACCGAGGGCTCCCCGTAGCGGGAAATCTGGCCGAAGATCCTCTGGATCATCTCAGTGCCTGCCGAAAATACTTATACTAATACATTACTAATGCCGCCAATCCACCCACCTATGTCCTCCCCTTTCGAAATTGCCGCCACCGCCAACACCGCAATCGCTTTCCCCATGTAGTAGTCCCACTCGTACTTCTTCTTCTCCTTCCCTTTCGCCGCCTCCTCCTTTTCCGTCCTTTCCTCCGGAGGCTCCACCTTCTCCTCCACCAGCCTTAACAGCTCCTGGATGATCAGCACGTCGCCGCTCCCCGCGTACGCGCACATCTGCAACATCGTCTGGAACATGGTCTTGAACGGCTCCTCGAACACCTCCGCCACCGTCGTCGGAACCTCAATATCATCCTTACACCCGAAGTACGCTAGCGCCACTCCGAACCCCGCCAGCATCATGAACGGGCTCTTCAGCACCTCCAACCCGTTACTCTCGATCATCTTCGACAGCACCACGTCCGACACCTCGCTGTTGTTCCTCCCCAGCGCCACCAACCCGCACGCCAGACTGGCCACGCCCAGCGTCTTCACCAGCTTCGACTCCTGAATCACCGGGAGGAGGAGCGAGAGCACGTCGCTCCGCCCACTGCCTGCGTACGCTAGCCCTATGCCGAACACGGCGCCCAGTTGCAGCTCCTCGCTGGAGCTCTCCACGTAGTCACCCAGGAGGGCCAGCGCGGGGTCGCAGTCGTTGCGGATGCGACAGTTGACAATTCCGAGAGCCAGGAGGGCGCCGGCTTTGATGTTCTCGTCGGTGGTGTAGAGGTACTTGTCGATGGGGGTGAGTCCGCCGTCCACGTCCCACAGGTAGAGGAGGCCGAGGGCAGCGGTGGCGCTCAGCATGCCTATGTCTTTGTTGCGGTAGATCCACTTATTGCCGTCTTCGGTGGTGAGGAGCTTGTCGGTGCCGAAGCCGGCGTTCACGAAGCCGTTGACGAAGGAGGAGGCGAGATTCTGACGGGCACTGTCTAGCTTCTCCCCGAGGACGCTCTGACGGAGGTTGGTGGGCTCGAGCCAAGTCTTGTAGACTTCGTCCGGGGCTTTCGGCTCCATTATGTCGAGCTGGGGGAAAATTGGACGCAAAAAGGCGAAAATGGAACTAAATCATGTTATGTTGGCAGTAGTGTGGAACACGCGAAACCCAAATTACAAAGAAAAATTCTCACCTCTCTGGCAAACGTCAAAAAATGGTGACTCAAATGACTGTTCTCCAAGATGCTCTTAATATCATCGTCCTCAACACTGAGCTCAAACGGGTAAAGATGTCTCGCACAAATAAACGCCATTTGATACAAAATAACCCTAAAACCACCAAATAAATCCCTAAAAACGCGACTCACACAGCCAAATTACTTATCCTTGCACGTATTAAACAACTTGTCGACCAATTTTGCGTCATTGATCTGAATGGCCACAATTATCGAGCGACAATACTCTCCAAACATCATATAAAACTGAGAAATCAACTTAAGAATTTTCTTGCTCTCTAGTTCATCTACGTACTTGGCGCAAGCAGCCAAATATAAGCAAATGGGCTTATAATTGTCCTTCGTCACGTAATCAAAAAGCATATACATTTGATTAATCTCCATGAGGAGATCGCATCCTTGGATTTCATCATGATGCGAACAATTAAAAGTCATTATTTCTTTAACCAGAGGGTGCAGGGTTTTAAAATTGTTGTCACACATTACCCACTGTTTCACGATTTCAGTCTCCAGCTGTCGGATATATTCGTGCCCCCAATCCCCTATATTCTGCATGGTCCCTTGCAAACAATACTTCAAACAATCATATCCTTTTTTTACTTCAGTCTCGATAGCCCCCATTGAAAGCACCGAGACCACATCCGACAGGTTTTTCTTAATAGTGCCTTCGCCCATAGCGTCGCATTTCTCACGCAAGTGACCATAAAAAGGCCCCAGATATTTCAGAGGTTTGGGAACTGAAGTCATGGAAGTGGTGGCTGTACGAATGAGATATTTCAACATCTCGATCGACGAAGGGATGAGTTTGGGGTCCTCTCCCTAGAAATTTTAGTTAGTTGGAGAAGGTTACGGGGGCTGCTTACAGTTATGCGCTCCACAAGCACTTTGAGTTCCACTTGAAGCTCTTTGTCGTCTTCTGACTGAAATTTCGACACAAAATGTTATATTGTAGTTGTAAATATGCGGAACTTACTTCATCTTTGCGAAATGTGGGTTTTCGAATCACTTTTGCAGTCATTTTTGCGTTTTATGAAGAGACGCTCCTAGATATGACATGCAAAATTTGAATGTTCGAATTTAGGGTTTCCGGTTCCGGTGACGTTTGACATAAAATATGAGAATAATTTCTTGTTTTTGAGATAAGTGGATAGTGGAATAATCAATCAATATATTTATTACTTTTAAAGGTAGAAGTAGAAATGTTTTTATTTATTTATTTATTTTTGAATTGTAAAAGCGCCCCCATACCACCCAAACAAAAACAAACACGTCACGTGATCCATTATCTGTCATTTCATTATCAATCTAAAGATAATTGAAATTTGTTTACAAACAAACCATGGACATCATAGAACATGTAAGTTTCACATCCGAAAATAGCCCTCTTCATGTGACTCCTTTTAGTTGGAAACCCCGTCACTCTTCCAAAGAATAACCCGAGCCATAAATGCAGAAGACTTTGAACAAGTAAAAACACTCCTCAGACCCGACGTTCCAGTGCAGGAACTCAAAGACGCCTCCAACGACACCCTCATACACATCGCAGTGCGAATACAAAAGTAAAGTCACAACACAGCGCAGCACTAAATTTTTTTAGTCTTGAAATTTTAGAATACATTTTGGATTTGAAAATCATTGACATTAACTCATACGACTATATGGACCAGACCCCTTTAGTGACGGCCGTGTTGCAAAATTGTGTCAAAGTCACGAAAATGTTAATCGTGAAGGGGGCGGATGTAAATCTGGGTGACCCAAAAGAGAACAGTCCTCTGCATTATGCTGTATATCATGCACTTGAAGATGAGTGCTTGTTGTTATTGAAGAATGGGGCGAACGTCAACGCGCAGAATTATTATGGGTGTACACCTCTTCATGCAATTTGCGGGGTTCATTCTGAGATAGAGATAGCTGCTATGTTGATGTATTATGGAGCAGATGTTACTGTACGATCATGGAATGACAAATCTAGGCGTCACACCCCGTTTGATTTATGTTTAGTATACGGCAGATCTATTTTGCAGAGGTTTTTATCAGATTATGTGTTTGACGGTGTTGCCGAAGTTTCTGTTAGTTTGGGGGGCATAATGGGGGCTATGCAACATAACCCAGGCATGTTCTTTGATATTATTGACAAAATATCAGACGTCGTGGTTGACGTGCAAGACTTGATGGATTTTATGAACAAAATCCTGTTGTTTGATCCTAAATGTTTGCGTGTTTTTATTAATAGGTTTAAGAATGTTCTAGAATCAATTACTTTGCTGGATGATGAGCGCCTGTTTACCAGTATATGTGCGATAAACGGACAAGTAAATGCTCGGAGGGCGATTGATAACTTTTACACCATTTTAGAAGAACCAGCACTTCCATATTTTGTTGAACATTTAACTAGTGACTTTTTATTGTGCTTAATTCATATGAAAGTTCCACAAAAAGAAGTAGAAGGACTGTTTTTCCATCTCTTGAGTTGTGGATGCCCCCTTACGAATACTGTACTCGATACAGTTTATCACTATTATGGTGATGGTGAATTCTTTCGGACTTTATTGTTTATGGATATTGAAAAAAGTACTGACTGTCACCAGCGGCTACCTCCGTTTCCTGCAATTATCTACGATGTAGATATTCCAAATATTAATAATTTTATCTACTTGCTGCGTTTCAAGAATTGTAAAAATGCTCAAAAAGTGGAGCACTTTTTTGCTGGGGTTCATATTAAAAACGCGTATTTTACTTCAGGTGAACAGCAGTTGATAGAGATAGCTCAGAGGATCCCAAATGTGCCTTCATTATTGGAATTGGCGAGAAACGACACACGAAATCACATCATAAGGCATTACGGAATTACCAACTCAAGACAGTTTTATGACGTAATCAGATTACTACCGATATTGGAGGAATACAAGGGCATCATTACTTTTAAAAAGAGACTTTATTATTATTAGGATACAAAAATCGTGAAGTGAGTCGTTTAATAGCCTCCTTGGTATTGTTTGTAGTATTTATATATTTTACAAGACTGATTTTTTTTGTGCTGCTTAATAAACTAATGTATTAAAAGAGGTGGTTTTTAATTTTTGTTCGATGAAGCTGTCAACTTCAAATCTAACCGAATTAGCGGAAACGATCACGTGACGTACACATAACCTCAAAAAATACGATTTATTCAAAAACATGTTGCATGTGTTAAACGAGAAAATGTAAATGTCTTTAGAGTAACGGTGAAAAGTATGTGAGTATTCAATCATAGTTTACGGTAAGTTAGTCCAACTGCAACTGCGAATCCATGAGAGATAAATAAAAATGCTGATTTTCTTCAGTTTGATTGTGCCACGATTTGTCATTTATTGTTTTTTAAATTTAATTTCACAGGGCGCCATCTGGTGGCTACTGGGGTACTAGTTTGGTAGGGGTAGCGTAACGTTGCAATGGACGGCGGCTGTAAAAGATACTGTTCGGTGCCAATGTGCCAAACGTACAAAACTAAAGCCGTGACGCTTCATAGATTTCCTCTTGATCCAATTTTGCGAGAAAAGTGGAGGAATGTGTTAATGATACGGAAGCCTATTTCGAAATTTATGTGCGTTTGCAGTAAACACTTCAAAGCTGAAGATTATTCAAGAGGTAAGGGACTTTTAAAATTAGACTGTCACTATGATTTCGCATTATTTCCAGCTACTACAAACCCCAAAATGAAGCGCTTGTTGCAGGGGGTGACACCATCTTTAAATTTACCGGACCACGATGTGTGGGAGCTTAGAACCAGGAAAGTGGAAACTTTTACGTAAGTGGTAGTAGAAAAAATCTCATTTTATTTTTTATTTGTGACCATGAAGTTCGTTTATCGAACAGATAGAGTGGTCACGCTCGCTACACATACCTATTTAAAGTGAACCACAGACCACACACTTGTGTGGTCTGTGAAGTGAACATCCTAGCTTACACAAAGTAACATCAAAATTACATCTTGTTACCTTGTTTGAAAATAATATAAACATTGAATGTTCCAATTCCTAAAGACTAATAAGTATCTAATAATATGTTATAAAAATATTTTATTAGTTTGGTTGACTTTAAGATTATGAATTAAAAATGTTTATAACAGTTTTTTTTCTTCAACAAAAAATTGCCTTTTAGGAGGTGATAACTTAAAATAATATGTGGCATTATTAATACAAAATTAGATAAAATAACTTCCAGGTATATCTGTTGACTTGTGTGAAAATGGCTATCCGAGTTCACCGTCCACCAATAATATTTGGGTTTTAAAAGGTCACGTGAGGATCATGCACTTTTACAACATCTAACACCATATGTTCGGTAAACGAACTTTATTAACCACACCTACATAACCTAACTTTCCACAATTTATAAAGTCCGTTTACCGAACACATGGAGTTGTAAGTACGTGATCTTCACCGTTAGTGGTGTCCTCGAGTGTTTTGTGCGGTAATTTGTTTTATCATAACCAGTTATTTTCAATTATTAACACTAGAAGTTATTTTAAGGTGATTATAACAATATTCGCCAATGGATCCAAAACTGTCACCTCCTACAAAGCGTGTAAGAAGGCATTTTTCAGTTGAGGAAAAAAATACCATCATTAACATTTTTAAATCCTTTGCGAATGATCATCCTGAAAGCACGAAGGTGGAAAACGTGAGATTCACAGCAAAAGCAAGCGGTGACTTAACCAAACTGATGAAACGACTTAATTGTTACTCAATATTTAGGAATCGCAAGATCCAGCGTTTATAATATTTTGAAAGAATATGCTGCCAATAACCACACCGTACAACCACCCAGGAAATATCACCGGACTCGAGCTGTCTTGGATAATGTTACCGAAGAGGAAAAAAATTTAATTCGAAGAATAGTACACTCTTTCTTTTTGATAAATGAAACTCCTACATTAAGTAAAGTATTACACGCGGTTAATGAATGTGATGACCTTCCTAATTTTAAAAAAGCAACTTTTAGAAAATTGTTACTTCAAATCGACGCTTGGTAAGTTGGGACATGGTCAGCGTGATCACTCCATCCGTTCGGTAAACGACTTTGCAAAATTTTATGTTTCAGCAACAGTTCATCTATAGACTCTCCGACACCATCAACTTCAACGTCTTCACCTCCTCCAATCAAAAAACCTAAAATTCTTCAAGTTGTTGAAACAAGCAGCAAAGAAGTGACCGACGAAAGCAATTTTTCAGCGACATCTAATTCCAGTACTATCACTCAGAACAGTGACTATTCTTCACAGAATGATGAAACTCCAATTTTTGACACAATTATGATAAAAAGCGAAGTTGAAGAAACCGCTGATGACGTCAAAATAAAAGTAGAGATGGAAAATGACGACAGCGTAACTTCTTTCTCTCTAGAAAACATAACCAAAACTGAAATAAAACACGAAGATGAAGACCACGAAGACACCAGTGATTGTTTCACTGACGAATCGCAAGATTTTGAGCTTAAAACAGAAGAACTGATAATCAAAGACGAAAGTGAAGCAGCCTCGACTTCAAGTGCAACTCAAACCGACTCCAGCCACGACGATAAACACGCTGCGGTCAGCGACGAAGTCGAGCGACTTTTAGCACAACTCCGCCCGAAAAAGAAAACCATCAAAGGTATGACTCGATTACAAGTTAAATTATCTTCATCACTTAATTATGTTAGGTCCGCAAGCTCAGTTCACCGACAACGACGTCTTCCAATTCACCATCACCCTCCTGAGGGGCAAACGTGCCCCAAGAATATGGCGCTGCTTCCAAGTCCCTGTTACTTACACTTTCCGGGAATTCCACATCGCGATCCAGAAAGCGATGGGTTGGAAGTCGGTCGATTACGACTACCATTTACATGCGTTCCATCTGATCAACCCATCTACCGGGTTCCAGGACAACATCGTTATGACTGAAGACGTCGGGTTTTATAGTGGGGCTAAAGATGAGAATGTAACGAAAATCAAAGATTATTTCACCGTTGGTAAACATAAGGGTAGATATGAGTACGATTTTGGGATTGGATGGGAACATGAGTATGTGTTTGAGGGGGCTTTTCCACGGGTGGAGGGGAGAACGTATCCTGTGTGTCTCAGAGGGGCCAAAGCGTGTCCCCCAGAGGACGGCGTTGTGCACTCTGACGAGGAATATGATTCTGATGCGTTTGATGCGGAAGCTTGTTTTTGAATATTTTTGGTTTTGTATTATTTGAGTTTAGTTGAATAAAGCTTATTTTTTGTACATGTTTTTCACAACAAAATGTCAAGATTTTATTAAGTTACCGTCAGCTGCTTTTTGGACACTTCCACATTCAAACATGTTTGACAATAAAGTAGTACCAATCCCCCAAAAGTGAGGTTATCTAAAAATCGGCTATTCCCAAGGGTTTTTGCTTATGGTTTTTGTTACTCCCAATTAATATCTAACTTGTGGTCATTCCAAGGATACGACATTTGTACGTATTTCCAACAAAGTATTTTTAAAAACTTAAATAAACCAAGTTTAGGTAGCACAGCATCTCAGCATGGAAGTGGCCATAGTTACCCCCAGCTCTTCCCTGGATAAGCTGAAATGTTCCTCTTGCTCCAGTTACTTGTCTTATTTTCCAATAAGAGTGTGCGCCAACAACCAAAACATTTGTGGCCGCTGCGTTTCTCCCGCTGAAGAAGATTCAGTTTTCCAGAACATCGCTTTTGAAACTTTGTCGCAATTTTTGAAATTCCCCTGTCGCTACGCAAATGAAGGCTGTGCGGAGCAACTGCAACCTAATAAAGTTCCAGAGCATGAAGAAACTTGTCCATTTAAAATCATATCGTGTCCAGTGAAGAAGCTCAACAAGTGCAAATGGACAGGTCCTCGACCCACTTCACTCCATCATTGCGAAACTGAACACCGTAAAATGTTTCTAACAGAAGGGTCAATAGCCATGGACTTTTCTTCAGATAAGCAGAGCCACCACCTGATAAAATTCGAAAACTCTCTACTAATTTTCGCCAAGACCTTCAACCCCTTGAATAAAATAATACAATTTGAAATGTATACAACTGAGTTGGAAGCCGCCCCTATACAATTTTCAGCTCAAGTAAGCGTCCAGTGTGACGAGACGAGTCTTTCTCATGATTTTGTCACCACAAATTTTGATGAAATTTCTTTGAATGAATTAAAACTCGATTCTGTGGTCACTGCAAAAACAGGAACTCTCAAAGTAACCATCCTGGAGGCCGTTGTAGATCCTAGTCGTGTCATCAATTTGGAAATGCTTGCAGTCTTGAAATGTTTCAGGTGTTCAGGGTACGCCGTGCCCCCAATTTATTACTGCATCACAAACTCCCAAACGCTTTGTTCCGACTGCAAACCAATCCATCAACGTGCATGCAACACCTGCTCGCGCAACAACTCCAACCGTAACTTCAACCTAGACCGAATGGCCGAGAAACTAAACTACCCATGCAAATACCAAGCCAATGGGTGCGCGTTCATTTCCAGCCCCAGCGAAATCAAAAAACATCAATCGGTGTGCGAACTCGGCGACTTCGAGTGCCCGATGAACGAATTCGACGGGTGTGCTTGGAAAGGATTGCTCCAAGACTTGGAGGAGCACGTTGGGAAGTGCCACGAACAAGTGGTTACTAGTTCCTCCAATCTCACGAAACAGCTCCTCCCGGGTCAAATGAACTGCGATATATTCAAGTTCTCGAGTCAGTTGTTCCGAATGGTTTGCTTAAAAACATCTGAAGGAAAGCACATGTGGAGTATGCAGGTGATTGGGCCCTTTAAGGAGGAGTATAGGTATGAAATCGAGATCGTGGATCCCAAGGAGAGGGGGCGCAGGTTGTTGATTCGTCAGCAGTGCGGGCTGTTGACGAAAAAAGAGGACTTGTTCAAGAATGGGAATGGTTTTTGTTATTTTTTGAATGATCAGATTGGGGAGTTTGCATCCGGGCATGATATTGGGTTTAAGGTTCATATTTTTGTGTAGTCATTTAAGTATATATATTTTCTTTTGTTGATATCTTGTTTTTCTGTAGGTAATTTAAATACATTCTTTGCTTTTGTACGAGTTTTTTTTTTTTTGTGTGCCTGAGATTGCGAACGTACTCCAAAGATTGAGGTTACGTGAGAAGAAAAGATCAGAAAAGATAATTAAAAAATTCTATGGATGTATGTATTAAACGTATTTGACGATTGTATAGGGAAAAATCGATGCTTCAGAAGTTTGATGAATGTATAATAGCAACTCTTGTTATTTACATGGAAAAGTAAATCAAACGGCCAATTTCATGTTTTCTTGACGTTTTGTAGCTTCTAGAATAAACAAATTGGTCCTCCGTTTCCGTTTCAGAAAAATTTTATAGATACAATTTCGCGCCGGTTTCCGAACGTACTCGAAAGATTAAGGTTAGCCAGATTTTCGCGGCTTATTATTAGCAATTTAGCAAGCAAGAAGTAGAAGGTCGTCGCTGATATATTTACACACCCACTGAAGAAGAACGCCCAGCTTATTAAAACCCCGATTAATTTTTCTATCTCAAGGTATGTTATTATTGTAATAATTCAAGCAACGCAAATTAGTTGATTTTCGCATTTCTTGTGTTTTGTTAATTTAAGAGAGGTTATCCTTATCAGTGACAAGAAATTTTTTATGGTTGTATTTACTTAAGAAATTATCAGCGCGATTTCATGATCCCGACTAGTAATTTTTTTATTTGAGGGTTATTTTAGTTTATTCCCTTTGAAAAAGCGATGACGTCACTCAAACTGTTGAAATGTGAAACACGATTTTCCAAGTAGGTATAGTTAAAAAAAATATCTCCATTTTTGAAATTTTACGCAATGTTCCAACGTTGGAATTATTTATTTATCGCTGCCAAATTTTGTTTAAACATTGATAAAATCTAAGAAATTTGATACTGCGATCGACATATTAAAAACCGTTTTTTATTAAATGGGTTCGTTCGTACAGTACGAAAACATAGGTCTCCCGTTTCCGTTTATCTGTCGTCTGTCTGGGTTTTAAATTGTATAAAATAACATACTCCTACACCTGTAATTTATTAATCCGTGTTGAGTTTTTAACTCCAGTTTTGTGGGAAACAAATCAGAATTATAAAACAATATTTTGCAATGTGATTTTGAATCTACAAAACCGAATGTTCTGAAATCTTGCGGATATTTTAATATGCAAAATAAATAAAAAAAAAACTGTTTTCAAACAATTTAAACAAATTGTTTCTTACTTAAGAGTGTCCTTAAAATCATACGGTTGTGAGGTAAGTGGTGGCAAAATTCAACATTTTTGGTGTTAAGTTTCCAAATTATACGTACTCTAAATTAAAATAAATTTTGATGTTTCCTTAATTCAGTTTTAAACAATAATTTATATATCGTGTAAAAGTTCAGTGAGTGAGTCTCTAATAAGAAAACTAATTAACCAAGTGCGTGCGAGTTGCGGCCTAAATTATGTTAATTAGAATTATAATTATAATTAATTAATCTTTATAAATAAAAAACGCTGTTAATAATTCGGCACTAATAAAAGCTAAAAATTAACTAATAAATAATAGTACCCTCGTCTAACATTTTAATTACATAAAATAACTATAAATTGGAATTAAATTAGATTTAATTAGACCACGTGATGAAATTCAACCAATCAAAATTTCCGTTCGCCCAATTAATCACAAAGTGAAATCGTATTACATTGAGGAAAAGTGTTTGAAGCGAAGGTTTCTCCTAATTCTGCACCATTGTTCCAGGTAGAAGCGAACCTTGACCCTCCACACAACCCTTTGAAACCAAAAATGGATTTATACACTTTAATTTCCACAGGTCTAGACGACAAACTCAAGTGCTCTCTATGCAAAAACTACCTATCCCACTTCCCCATATCCATCTATTCAAACAACCAAAACATCTGCGGCCGTTGCCCTATCCCCGAAGGCACAGTCTACCACGAAGAAGCCCTAGAAACCCTTTGCCATCTCCTCAGATTTCCGTGCCGCTACCAATCAGAAGGTTGCTCTCAACAACTCTACCCGAAAGAAGTACCACAACATGAAGAAAACTGCCCCTTCCGCATAGTTAAGTGCGTCATGACCAAACCAACCCCTTGCAGCTGGTCGGGGAACCTTCCCACCCTCCCGTCACACTTACAAGCCGACCACGCTGCATCATTTCTGAAAAATGGCGAGTTTAAAGTTGACGTTTCTCGTTCAGAAGAGTGCGATTTTTTGATGCAATGTGAGAAGAAAGTGGTGGTGTGTACGAAGAAATTTGAGACTGGTAGTAACACGTTGGATTTGGTTCTCGATGCTCCTTATCATGGGTTAGATGAGGATGGTAGTTGGCAAGTTAGCGTGAAAAGGGGGAAAGTGGTACTTTTCCACGATTTGGAGCTGAATGACGTGGAGAAGAAGTTGTGTGCGAAGTTGTTGGTTCATTCTGTCGTGGAAGAACGCAGCGAGGAGCCACTTTTGTGCCAGATTCGCAACATAAGTAACACGATGAAGGGTGAAATAAGCGACCTCAATGTAGCAAGCGATGTTTTTCGATGTGGGGTGTGTCACAATGTGGCAACACCGCCCATCTTCCGATGTCCGTATGACATGAGCATTAAGTGCGCTAGTTGCGACGAGCTGTGTCATCCTTCACTTTCTTGTCCAACGTCTAAGAAAGACGACAAGTTGAGCAGATTAATCAAGTTGGTTAACTTCCAGTGCAAGTACCAGAAGTACGGGTGTACTTTCGGGGCACTTCTTAAGGAGGTCAAAAGACATGAGTCGCTTTGCTGCTACAGAAGCGAGAAGTGTCCTTTAAGCAAGCATCAGAATTGTCGTTGGCAAGGTTTAGTGGGGGATGCCAAGGATCACATTGTATCCCAACACCCAGATTCTTTTTGTACAGCGAACTCGGAATTCAAGGTCTCTTTAGAAGACACGGCTGTCATACCCAAGTTTATACATGTGTGTGATTGTCTGTTCAAATTTTATTGTTTCACGAGGGATAATTGTTACGTGTGGTCTGTCCAAACCGTGTTTGAGGAAAAAGAAGCTTTTATGTATGAAGTGGATGTCGTTGATGGCGCCAAAAACGGACAGAGGTTCACAATCAGGAAACCCTGCGTCAAAAATATAGAAGATGTCTTCCAGGACATGTCCGCATGTTGCTTTGTTCTTCAAAATCAAGTTTCTTCAATGACTGAGCAGAGCGAAGAGGAGACATTTCTGACCTACAAAATCGGGATTTTTAAGTAGTGTGATCGTTTTGTTGTTGTTGCTGTAAATAAATAATTTAGAATTATCATTTTGTCAAATATTATTTTAGGCGTGCAATGTTTTTTTTATTGTCGCCGTAATCGCGAGTCTGATAAAAATTTTGTAATAAACATTTTTGTACCTAATTTAATTATCTACAACTTTTATATATATAAATTTTAATTAACAATTTACCACGATTACGAAAACCTTAAAACATTTGCAAAACTTCAGAACATTCGGTTTTGTAGTTTCAAAATTAAATACCTGCAATTTTTATATATGTATTCCTAATACACATATAAAATTTGGCTACGATCGGGAGACCTATCTTTTCGTACTGTAGGGGTCATGAAACGTCGAGAAAACATAAAAGGCAGCTTACGCTCAGGAAGTAAAAAATTGTGAGTGGGAAAATAGCAAAATTAAGCAACGAAAAATTCTGGTGACGGTATCATCTGAACCCGCCTTCGAGTTGATCTTCATTTCTTTTACTACCTACTACTCGTTTCAGATTATGGATTTCGACCGATTGATTGCATCCGGAGAGGACAGCAAACTCAGGTGTTCCTTCTGCCAGAAGTACCTGTCGCACTTCCCCGTCGCACTATGCAGCAACAACCAAAATATCTGCAAGCGCTGCAAACTTCCCAAAGGACTATTGTCTTACCAAAATGAAGCCTACCAGACCGTGTGTCAGTACCTGAAATTTCCGTGCACCTACAAACCGCAAGGATGCATCCAACTACTACTACCAGCAGACGTTCCTACCCACGAGGGCACCTGCCCTTTTCGTGTAATCAAATGCTTCCTGAAAGATTGCAACTGGAAAGGATGTGTTCCATCCCTAATACCCCACTATGAAAACATCCACTTCGAGAAATTTCTCGTGAAGAACGAATTCACGATAAACATGAAAAGCACGATGTCAGACTACCGCAGCTTTTTGATGAAGTACCACGGCAAGATACTAGTTTTCATGTGGCGATTTGACACAGGCACAAAAAAGTTGGAGTTTTCTATCCACTACAACCAGTACCACCATTCTACCGATACCCACGTCTGTCAGTTGAGGATCGGAACCGAGCATACCACCATGGTGCACGAATTCCGTAGTACCAGTTTCCAAAGAATGCACCTCATAGAGTTGGATCTTAGCTCCTTTGAAAGTGCATGCATTGATGGCAATGTGGTTTGTAGATTTATCATCAAGGACGATTACGACGACCGATTCCTCTCTGACGGAAAGCAAGATACCTTTTTGGAGTTCTTGAAGTGCAGCAATTGTCTTAAATACGTCCAGCCTCCAGTGATTCGGAGCGGAAAAACACTAAAGGTCCATTGCCCCACCTGTAGATCATCAATACCCCAAAAAGAGGCTGGCGAATCCCCCAAAGTCTTCAGGGACTTCTGCTTGGATACAATCGCTTTCATAGTCTCCTATCCCTGCCAGTACACCTCCAACCACTGTTCCTTCAAAGGCCCGATCGTTGAATTAAAAATCCACGAAAAAGCTTGCCCCTATCAGACCACCAAATGCCCCATTTTGGCTCACCACGTGTCCTGCGTCTGGAAGGGCGCCAAAAAAGACCTCTACAATCACATCATGGCGGATCACCACCAACTGATCCATGACATGGACGACGTGCTGAAACTATCGCCGAAAAACAGTGAAGGGGAGTTCAAAATCATCAAATTCTGCGAGCGTTTGTTCAGACTGGCGTACTGTGTAGGCACTGATAAGATTTATAAATGGTCGGTTCAGACGGTTCTGAACGATGGGCAGGTCTTTAAGTTCGAGATTGATGTGATTGATACCACGAATAAGGGGCAGATTTTGGCCATGAGCAGGGTCTGTTCGCCCGCGGTGCCAGAAGAGGAGATCTTCACGAATCCAAAAACTTATTGCTTTGCCTACGCGGATCAGGTTGAGTCGCTTGCAGAACTCGAAGAGAAGGATCCGCTTGTGAGTTTCAAGGTTAAAATGTTTTTGTAAAGTGAGTTTATTTTTTTTGTCAGTTGCGTATATAAAGTTGCATAAATGGGAGTTGGTGTGGTGTGATTCGGGGTTTTTATGGAGTTTAGGTTATGTATGTTGTTTAATTTGTTTAGTTTAAAAGAGGCTGTTAATTGGATTGTCTGCGTATTTTTATTACAATGTATTGTTTACAAATGGATTCTTTTGTTTATTTTTTGAGTCCAGGTGAGAATTTTTCGTGTTAATATGTTGCATTTGTCATATTAATAAAGTTTAAATATGTATATAAGTATTTTTACTTTTCTATAGCTATAAAATGGTAGAACAGAACATCTGAAATGGAATTGAGTAACAACTTCAAGAAATAAACCTTAATTTTATTAAACAAAAATAAAATTTTCTTGAGCAAAAATGGATAATAATTCGAAAAATATATCTCCGTGACCAGAAACACGCTATATTTTTGGAAACAGCACATCGAGACGTGTATCCTTGATTTTTTTGCGAATTTTGCACAATCACGATTTTAGACAAATTTGAATATGCCGCCATTTTCCCGCTACATGGGGTTAAGATGTGGTGGGAGCGTTGGCTATATTGTTTTTTTTAGTTCGCAGATCGCGTGGTGGCAAATTGTAAGTGTCGTAAAGTGTTTTTTGTCAATACATCATCTTACATCTTAATAAGTGAAGAGGTACGTTATTCAAGTTAGTAAAGATGAAACGAAAATATTTAGCTCATCACGTTCACAATTTTTTTATTCCACCAAACACTTTTTTGTGCTTTGTATGGGTACACAATGTGCTAAAAGAAAAAAGTTTGTCACTCCACGTGACAGAATTTCGAAAAAAAAATGCATGGAATTGAAACTGTATTATCTTATCTTTTTTTTTGCAATTTAAGATGACTGTATTACACATGGATTTCGGACCAAATGGTTCTTCCAATTTTCGTTAAATTCTTGAAACGCAGACTGATGTTGTCGGCGATCGAAATTGATGAAGTTATTCCCACTAAAAAAACGGATGACGTCATCACAAAATTTTATTAACTTTCTCTCTTAAAACTGAAAACCACATTCCTTTGTTGTTTATTAATCCAGCCAAATTTTATAATTTTACCAAAAGTTTATTGAAAAATATAATGATTGTTGAGAACACATTAGAACGAAAACTTTTATAGAAAATCTGTTCATAGATTGTTTCTATGTGTAGTTCAATTGCGTGTATGTTTGGTTGCATACACACAACCACAATAATGATTGCTTCTTTACAGGTTCGCACCCCCGGTTCATGTTAAAATGGACATGCAGTACCTGGTACCGTCAGATTTAACCGCGAAACTCAAGTGCTGTGTCTGCAATAACTACTTGTCGTACTTCCCCATATCCTTGTGCTCCAACGGGCAGAATCTCTGTGGCCGCTGCAATCCCCCCAAAAACACCACTTGCCAGCAGAACCAAAGCTTTGAAATTCTGTGTCAATCGGTGAAATTTCCATGCCGGTACCACTCGGAGGGATGCCTCGAAGAACTAGTACCCAACGAAGTACCCCAGCACGAGCGCACTTGCGTCTTCCGCGAATTCAAATGCGTCGTGACCAAACCCCCCTCTTGCAACTGGTCAGGGTCTCTTCCTGCTCTGCTGAAGCACTCCCAAGACAAACATTCCAACATATTTTTGAAAAATGGCGAGTTTGAGTTAGATTTAACGCGTTCCGAAAACCAGGACTACTTTTTGGAACACGACGATACTCTGGTAATTTTCACGGGAAAATTCAACAGCGACAGCAAGACGTTGAACTGTGCTTTGTACAGCAACCAGTACCAGTCCGTCGAGGGGGTTTCTTGCCAGTTGAGTATGAGATCTGGAAAAACGACGTTATCGCAAGAAATGTACTTGACTTCTTTTGAGGCTCAGACATTTAGTGAGCTGTTCCTGCAGTCTCTCTGTGGTGGCAAGAAAGAGGGGATCCTTTTGGGGAAAATTTGTATAGGAAACGAAACTGTGAAGGACGGGAATGATGCGGAACTTACGGATATCACAAAAGATCCAGGGATGCTTGAGATTCTGAAGTGTTTTAAGTGCCATAATTTGGTCCAATCGCCAGTTTTTCGCCACTTTTATAGCGGCCAGCTGTATATGGTATGCTCAAAGTGTAAACGTACAGATTACAGTGCTTGCTGTAAAAACAGTGCGCTAAAAAGTGATCTGGAGGATTTTCCGCTTCGGAAAATTCTAACTTACACTCAGTTCCCCTGTCCCAACCAACAAAGTGGTTGTCTGTACACTGATAAGTACCAAAAGATGTATGCGCATGCGCAACTTTGCCAATATTTCACCGGAAAGTGTATTCTGGACCCATCCTGCACCTGGCTCGGTCTTGTGAAAGATTCAGTCGACCACATAGTAGCTAATCACCAGCAGTCTTTCATCTCACTTGGAGTTGAAGTGGAGATGACGAGCCAAGACCCTGACAAGTGCAAATTCATCAAAATTCGTGAATATTTCTTTAAACTGTCTTATAAAGTAGACAAGAAGGAAAAACGTTTCGTGTGGTCAGTTCAAACGATGGGAGACTACAAAGAAAAATTCAAATATCAAATAGATATCAGTGATAAGAAGCGAGGCGGAAGACTGTCCTTGTGGCAGTTTTGCACGCCGCTGACTAAACAAAGCTCCGTTTTCCTAAATCCGAAACAGTATTGTTACCTCGAAATGCAACAACTTTGCGTGCTAGAGCCCGAAAAAATGGAGTCTTGGAGTAAAAAGGAAGTTGTCGTAGATACGCATTCCTACCATCCCATAAGTTCGTATTATAAACAGAAGTCTGAGAACGAAATTGCTTTGAGTGTTACATTTAAAGTAAATATTTTTGTGTAATATGTATTTACATTTGGTCATGTTTGTCACATTCAAAATGTTAGATGTATTTTTTTTTTAATAAAGGTAGTGTGATGTTGGTAAATCTTTATTATTTTTTTAATTATATACAGGATTTAATTTTTTCCCAGTTCAGGTAATAACTAGTTTGATTAGTTTGTTGGTCGGTGTACGTTTTTGAACGTACTCTGCAGAACTGGTATGGTACTATCACGGTACTATGGAGACTAATGAATCATAACCATTATCGCTTGTGTGCGTGTTAGTGTGGTACCAGTATTCGTGAAATATTGTTTAAAACTGTATTTTTTTTGGGTAAGTTAATTTATCAGTGAGGAATTTTTAGTGCTACGACTGGGATTTTATTACCGCGTCTTTCTTTCGTTAAATCAAGGTTAACATCGTCGGTGGGAAATTTAATTAAATAAATACGTGTATACAACCAAACATACACCCGATTGTAACACTACAACAATCTAATATTGTTTTAAAAAGCAAAATAAGTATCCCGTCGTGTTAATAAGTAGAATACAAAACAAACCAGAAATACTTCTTGTTCTAGTTTAACCAGTCTTTACAGATCTCAACTTAAAAAATGGACCTGCGCTTCCTCGTGTCCTCCAATTCAGAAGACAACCTCAAGTGCTTCATCTGCAAGAACTACTTATCGTACTTCCCCATATCCTTGTGCTCTAACAACCAAAGCATCTGCGGCCGCTGCACTCCTCCCGAAGACACAACCCACTACCAAGACAGAGCCTTTGAGACTCTATGTCAGTCAGTGAAGTTTCCCTGTCGGTACCACCTAGACGGTTGCATCGAAGAATTAGTACCAGAAGACGTACCCCAGCACGAGCAGACCTGTCGCTTCCGAAAAACCGGATGCGTTTTGACAAAGCCACAACAGTGTGCTTGGTTTGGGCCGCTACCCACACTGTTGCGACACTACCAAGAAGACCATCCAGACGTGTTTTTGAAACAAGGCGAATTCGAAATGGACGTTGCGCGTTCTGAAGAAAAGGATTATTTTTTGGAATATAATAACAGTCTCGTGATTTTTACGATAAAGTTTGACTGTGAAGATAAGAAGTTACTGTTTTGTCTGTACAGTAACGAAAATCAGGATTTTGATGATACTTCCAGTTATTTGAGCCTCAAATCTGGCAACGTGACTGTATCATATGACTTTAATTTAACTTCTTGCCATACCAAGTCGTTTACGGAGTTATCCCTTCACTGTTTCTGTTGTAGTAAGAACGAAGAAGAGTCGGTTTTGGGGAAAATCAGTATAGGAAAGAGACAAGCCGTGAAGGATGAGTGTACACCGCATCTTGAAGAAACCAATTCTGAGATAGTTCCCAGCTTTTCATCTTTTAATGTAATCGGTTCTAATATACTTGACCTTTTGATGTGCCAGAAATGTAAAAAATTCGCCACGCCGCCATTTTACCGTGGGCTTTATAATCTAGACATTGTATGTTCAAAGTGTAGGTCCAGTAGTTATCGTGAGTGTTGTAGAAACAGTAGTTTTAGAAGTGACTTCAGAGACTATAAGTTAGACGACGTCGTAACTTTAGTAGACTACCAGTGTCCAAATAACAAAAATGGCTGCACCTACACTGCAAAATATGAACAAATGCCGGCCCATTATCAATTTTGTCAATACGTGGCTGAAATTTGTTTCCTAGACACTGGTTGTCTATGGAACGGCCCTGTGAAAAACGCAGCCAAACATATATTTGATGCTCACGAGAATTTATTTATTCCATTGGGAGCTGAGGTTCAAATGACATTTTTGGACTTCGACACGAATTATAAGTTTATTAAAATTCACGATTTTCTGTTCAAACTGTCTTACGCAGCACAAAACCATAAGCGTCTAGTTTGGTCAGTTCAGAAAATGGGACGCTACCAAGAGAAATTTAAATATCAAATCGATATTAGCGATAAAGATGGTGGCAGACTTTCTTTGTGGCACTACTGTGCTGAAGTGACAAAAAAAGACTCCGTTTTTGTTAACTCCAATCACTACTGTTACCTTGAGAAGGAACAACTTTCCATGCTGCCTGCAACTGAAAAAAATGTTAATGTTACATTTACGGTGAAGATTTTTAAGTAGTGTTTGTACATTATCATTATCACACGCTTTGTGTAATTCGTAAAAATAAAACAATGAATAATTCAGATTGTAGTAAATGAGTCATATAAATATAATTTAAATTCAAAAATTCACCCACAAACCCCGCCCCCCTAGCCACAAATAAAAACCTCGTTTTGAAACCACAATGGCCGCCTCGTCCCTCTACTTTTTTTAACTCAATGGTTCTTGGGGCATGGAAGTGGAAACAAGTTGGCGAACACGTTTCAGACCTAGTTTCCGACGGACTCCTCAAATAATCAAGTACCAACGAGGATGAATAACTAAAACCAGCAGAAAAATCCCGTCCCTTTTGCTCCCGAATCCTGGAAGAACTCGCACGACCTTATACGACGCACATTCCAGGTACGTACACAACCGAAGTAACTAAAAAAGAAAACTAAGCGGTTTAATTTTGCAACAATGTCAGAGTGTCGTGGGCGACATGGTCGAAAATGGCGATGGCGATGGGGAAGGTGGTCTATGCGAAGGCGGGGGCGGCGTGGTTGACTCCACCGTCGACGTAGCATTAGTGGATTGTGGTACCTCTTATTACGACGGCAGCGGGAAGACGCCTGCCACCAAGCAGAGGATGAGGCGGAATAAGAGGAATTTTTGGCTTTTGATGGGACTCTTGTTGTTGGTAATTGTTGTTATTGTGCTGGTTGAGGAGGTTGCAAGAAGGAATATTTAAAGGTGTAGGTAGAAATCATCTGATCTGTCATTGTTTCAAATGTAAGGTTGGTATTGCATGCAGGAGCTAGAAATGAAAGTAAATAATTTGGGCTTCGAGTAGGCGGTGCGCCGAAATTTCATTGACAGATCTGTGTGATTTGTACTTTAAGTTTGTAGTTTTACTTTACATTGCATTATATAAATATATATATCGATATGTCAGAGAGCCTGATTTTTTATATGCACTATATTTATATTTTTTAGAATACCTATGTGATTTTTTACATTTTTATATGCACTCTATTTATTACACTTTTTAAACAAATTTTTGTTTTTTTTTGCGTCCCTGACTCTAAGTTTTATATGTTGATGATTCGGTGAACGATCCCACATGAAAACACCAGCGCCGAGGTCATCGCAAGAGAACGAAAAGAACGTCATCAGAATTCGTACGTGTCAAATTAATTGATTAGTTCAAGTCATATAATCGCTGGAAATGGTGAATTATCAAAATGTTTATTTCATGTGATAACAAGACAACGAACATTTCTTTAGTGGGTGCTAAACTCAATTACCAACACCTGCTAACTATTGAAGTAAATAAAATCGATCGACGCTAACTGGAGCAATGAGTGACGATTGCTGCTGCGACAGTGGTGGAGGCGGCGATAGCGGTGGGGCTTGCGATAGCGGTGGAAATTGTGACAGTGGGGAACCGTATGATAGTGGCGGACATTGCGGCAGTGGGGGGAATAACGACACCGTTTTTAACCCCGCTGATGTTCCCAGTTATACTGCATTTGACGTTTCAAATTCAACGACAAATGGTTACTTCTACAACCATGACAATGATAATAGTCAAAACAACACAAATTCCTTCGGAACGGGGCAAGAAACAGACATGTGCAATAAGTGCCGCGCTGCTGTAAGTTTTTTTTTATTTCTTGGTTTTCTTATCTTTATTTACTTCGTTTTTTCGCCACATTAATGTTTCGATGTACTTATGTAAGATTTATAAATGTGTTTTGCCTTAAATACTGGGTTTTAGGTTAAAAAAAAATTGTATGTTTTTTATTTGAAATAAAATGTTTTGAAATAACTTGAAAATTTTCAAAATCAGGAGAGCATAGACTTACAATTAAAATAACCTCCTTTCCGTATACACGTATCATGGTAGAAGGAGACATGGTATAGGCATACGCATCGGGTGTGACGTCAAGTGGGGTGAAATTAGCGCGAAATTTAAAATACAAACTTTCGTTATCCGACAACTAATTGACGTATTGGACAGAGCAATGACAACTCAAGCTGAAATTCCCTAGACTTCCCTAGCGAAGCTCACAAGAGTCACAAGGTCGTTGATGCCACCTAACGTCACAAATGGATGCGCAGACCATTTTTAAATTGGTACATCGGATGCCTATACCATGTCTCCCTCTACCATGTACACGTATATAGTGTCATCGCTGATGCTATGTTGCCACGTACAGTTTTGATTGAAATTTTATTTCGAGTAAATTAAAAAAGAAAAAATCTACTTTTCTTTAATTTCGAATCGACATACCGCCCACAGCACACTCATAAATAAAGACTTCGCAGCCTCCGAATCGGAAATTTCCAGCCCACACGTCGCAAAATCCCTCCACATTTTATACTTCTATAGTCCAAACAACCTCGAAGGTGTTGCCAAACAGAACCTTGGCGAATCGTCGCCTGTTGCTTCCACTCCCGATTTCCCAAGTAAGTGTAGAAATCCACAACCACCTCGATGAAAACCAAGAACTAAGCACAACCACCACTTGTGAACGTCCTCAAACCGTCCAGAAAAGTGCTCAACAACCAAAAAAAATCTTATCGCACCACCATCTTGCAACTCAGCCTCCAGGTACATTTCAACCATCAAAGTAAGTAAAGTAGATTGTCTCACCGAATTTTTTCCAGGAGCCAAATGACTGATAATGCAGGTGGCAGAGGTGGGGGCGGCGGTGATGGTGGGAGGTGTGACGCGAATGTCGCCCGCAGTCCTACCAGTCCCCATGTAGCCGGCGCCTCGGAAGTCGCCACCACCATGAATTCAGTACTTATCGATGACCACCGCCAGTTTCTCGAAGATGAGGTTGTCACCAAACCCCGAACTCCGAAGTGCAACAAGACCACGGTTATTATTGTTGCGGGGATTTTTCTCGTTCTGTGTGGAGTGGGTGTAGTTGTGTTACTCGAGTCCTTTTACGAGGATTGACATGTGTATTTTAACTAGTGTTTACGAATTGTGTTGTTATCGGTGTGCCTTAATTGATATCAGGAATCTGTATACACTATAATCTCAATCTGATGTTTTGTTTTATTTTGCCCTGGGTGGCATTTATCAATGTTTACAAGTCAATATCCTAGTGGAAACAAATACAGGGAATATTACTCATCTGGACTTTCGGCGGTACGGAAATGTTATCTCTAAGCACAGGATGTGGGCATAAAAATAGCAAAACTAACACTTTAACGTTGGCAAATGCGGCGAACATATATCAAGTAAATACACGGTTTGTAAATTATCCAGCAGTTTATTGTTATCGGTGTTATTAGTAGTTTTTAGGTGTTAAAATGGGCGACGATTCTAATTCAGGCTGTGATGTTTCAACAAGTTTTGATACTTATCACGACACTTCTCATCACTGTCATCAGCAGGAAACGGCTACCGACCATCACCACCACCATCATCATGACGACTCGTCCATTTTTGTTAGTGATTATGGTTTTAACACATATTCGTATAATCCTCCAACAGGGCAAACTAAGTACTTATCTCTCAAATTTATAAATCGAGTAATATGCGGAATCTGTGTCGTTTTTGCAGTTGTAATATTTATAGTTTTAGCTATTGTATTATCATAACAGTAAACTGACATTATTTTATATAATTTTTATTCTTTTTTGTCTTATATATTTCGTCTTTTTAGATACAGCGTTTTTACTATCAATTGAAAAGTGATTTTTATTCAACTTGAAACTATACATCACTTCTTTAATATTCTCTGGTAGGCATTTCTTCAGAACTGTCTTTGTTTTTCTGGTTTCTGCAGTGTTGATATTTGTATTTGTTTTATATACTGTGATGTAAACAAGGTCATAAATAATTCACTTGTTAATTATTATTCCAGTTCTATTGTATTCTATCACGTCATTCAAAACAAAAAACCTATTAAACTGAATAAAATAGAAAGTTGCAAAAAAGGATCATTGACGACTTCCTTGTACGAAAATTCACTCAAAATGTGTTTCTTTCTCTATGGACAATTTTCCCACACGTGACGAATAGGAAATCTTCGTTTGTTTATTGATTGTCGCTATCTCGTTTACCGTTTACACAATATTAGATATATTGTGATAACTTCGACTAACCCTCCAGTCGTAAAAATTCTTGATTCAATAATAGTAGCACCCACGTGGAGAAAACATGTTCCTAATAACATTATTACTACTTGTACTGATTTTCGTCACTGCCGGGTACAGTATTGCGCCACCTGGACCACCTATAAACACGACCACCGCAGTACCGACAACAACACCATCACCGGTACCACCACCACGCGAAAAAGTGATCTGCCGCAATTTCAGAAACTTTGAAGACAAGTTTGTACATCATGGCGATATCTCATGCAGGGTCGACGACAACATTTACGCCTCGGTGAATGAGGAATACGCCGACGAAGACCAACTCTTGGTACGAGCAACTCTTCTGAGTTTGGACCTCTTTAGGAAGTCGTACTATAAGAAACTGTCCAATGTGGTCGTCACTAAAGTCAACGTGCTAAATTTTGGAGAAGATCAGGCGTTCGTTGACAGAGTGATCATCGAAAATGGAGATAACGACGCATCGGTTTGGGCCCATATAGAGGTACCACCCTTGCAGGAAGTGAAGTTGTTTGTCGAGATATACGGTCACAGAAGATCTGGTTAGGTGGTACTTTTTGTGTTGTGTCGTTATATATTATAATAGCAGGGTATTGTCATCGTCACCAAATTATCACGATGAGGGGGTTGAGGGATTCGCAAAAATGGTGACAAAGAGGTCGTAGGAGATGTTTCAATAAGATTAATTTAAGTTTTTAAGTTTAATTTTTATTATCATATCTAAATACATACAAACAAAGATATTTGAGTTGTTTATTTACTGACTAGCTACTCTTGGAATTCAGTTCTTCTATTTTAAGACAACTATTATTATAAGATATTTTAAAAAGTAAGTTTCAACTTTCCTTTATTGTACTTTTTCCGACACTTTTGATTCTTTTTTTTAACCTTTATGTTTTTAATTTTACTCCCTTAAAACATATATTTAAAAAAGTAGGTGGGTTATTAAGAAAAAATGAATTGCAAGGCTGTTCAAATATTTTCATATTTACTTTATTGATAAAACGGGCAAATTCACGATAAGCTATCTATCAGAATAAATAAAAATCTATAGTTAGTAGCTTTATTGCTGGTTATGTCGACTGTTGCCTTATGAATAGCAATAAGATTTTCCAATAAGTGATTAAATTAATGTCAATAAATATTTTTTTGCTGATCGCCTGCAGTACCAATATTTATACATTTTTATGTGATATTTCCTTACTTGTGCAGTAGAGTACTACACTTATGTAAAAAACAATGTACTACCTACTTTTCGTACCAGATTTTCTTTCTCAAAAAACATGCATAATCTAACAAATACAAGAACATGGGATGCGCAGCAACAGTAATACCATTTAGGAAAGGACTATTAAAGATTATCTAGTAGCACTTTTCCTCGAATTTTCGCACTGTTTGTCTTCCGTGTTGATAAAAAGGTGTGCAAAATATCTTCTGTAAACAAAAATAGGGAGCGCACACTTGTATTTTATCTATATTCATATAAACAAAGCAACAGTACTTCATCTACAGTACCTCCAAGATGTTCTTCCGAAGCTTAATCTTGTCTTCTCTTTTTATGTTTGGTTACGCTGCCATATTTTCGCTTCAAAACTCTACGTCTTGGAGAGCATGGTATTCAAGGACATCAACACTGCCTCCATTTACATCAGGGTCCCCTGGGACCACAAGGACCGCAACAGGATCATCAAGGCCACCTTGGACGTCATCAAGTAGCCACCCATGGACGTCGTCCAGCTGGCACCCGTGGACGTCGTCAACTTGGCGCCCTTGGACGTCGTCAACTTGGCGCCCTTGGACGACAAGTGGGCGTCCCTGGCCAACAGGGGCTTCACCAGTTGTCTACTGTAACAATTATCGAGACATCGGGATCAGAGAATTTCCAAAAGTTGGTGACCTGGCATGTAAAGCACAACAATACTACACGTACGGTTACGGACAAGGTTACTACGGTGGCGAGCTCTTGCTGAGAGAAACTCTTCTGCAGACTCCGTTGACGCATTCTTCTGCAATAAACTACCGCAAAATCATCAGAGGAGTTGTGTCATCTGTCAGCATTCTGAATTTTGGCGAAGCACATGGTTTTGTAAAGCAGATAGTTATTCAAGGTCTGGGATACGGAGAGTCGTCGGTGAGAGCGACTATTGAGATTCCAGAAGGACGCGAAGTGAAGCTGTTTGTGGAAATTTATGGAAAACAGTAAATTTGTAACTATTACAGCTATAACGATTTACATAAGCTCGAATTAATAGTATCATGTAGTGTTTTTTTACCAAAAAAAGTAAATGTTTTTTATTGTATTTGAATAAACGTGAATAAAGATATTATCTAAACTGCCTGAGCTCCACCCTCAATCCTTCTTCTCACTCAATGTGCGCCTCTAGACTCTACAGTTTTATACGTTGATGAAACGTCTGTTGACATATACATAACCTCAAACACAAATTTCAAAGTTAAAAAACTGATTTAACACCGAAAAAATCAAAATGAGTTGACGAAAAATACAACGAAGCAACAGTTACATTCACTGAACGGAATTTTAGCAAAAACCACCCACATTTTAACGAATATGCAAAAACTAACAGAGGAATAACATAACCTCTGCACCATCACCCAAACTCAAATTTTTACCACCCAGATGCTCAAAAATCGTAAGTGAGTGTGTAAATCCTCACAAAATGTACACCTTTAACGATTCCAGCGACCTCCACAATGAATGAAGAAACCGTCATAAAACCAGAGTCCCACGACACCCTCGACCCTTTCCCTCCGATCCACCACTTCCTCCACATAAAAATCGAGGAAAAACCGCTACCTCTGCTACCGGAAACCGACCCCCTACCTCTCTCATTCCGAGACCACGAAGAAACCAAAAAATGTAAATGTGAGTATTGTCCCTATCGTGCCAAGTACATAAGCGATGTTAAACAACACGTAATTAACAAACACACAGCGTCCGAAGACATACCCTGGTTCAGATGCGAGCACTGTCCCTACAAGGCCAAGCGACGAGGAGAGCTGAAAACCCACATGTTGTACAAACACATTCCTTTCGGGGAGACGCAGGTCTACGAATGCACACATTGCATGTACAAAAGTAAGGTTAAGTCTGAAGTCCGCAGACACATTGCCCGCAAGCACACTCCGTTAGAAGAGCTGAAAAGTCTCAAGTGGCATCAATGTGAGCACTGTGCTTTTAAAGCCAAAACTAAAACCACGCTGAATCAGCACGTTTTGTATAAGCACACGAATACTGAAGATGTGCAGTGGCTGTGCTGTAGCGAGTGCGAGTATAAGTCGAAGACGAAGTGTTTGATGCAGAAGCATGTTCTGTGCAAGCATACGCCGGCGGAGGAGATTAACTGGTTCCAATGTGCGCATTGCGATTACAAGGCGAAGAAAAAATCGACGTTGAAGGATCATATTTTGAATAAGCACACTGATGAGGATAAGGTGGTTTGGTTTGATTGTGAGGAGTGCAGTTATAAGGCCAAGAGTAAGAGTGTTTTGACTAAACATGTGAAGTATAAGCACACCGAGGTGGTGCAGAAAATCGAGTGGCTGGATTGTGACCAGTGCTCATATAAGACCAAGTGGAATAGTAACTTGATCAAGCATGTGAGGAATAAACATGATGCTATGTATAAGGTCAAGTATAGTTAGTTTGGTGTATAAAGAAAATAAAGTATATAATAAAAATGGGTTTATATTTTGTGTATCCCACTTGCTGCGCCATATATATAAAATAATTACATAAATTACAAATTTTGAATGAGTCCCCTAAACGATTTTCATCTTGTTTTATCTAATTAATAATTAATAAATAAATTAATTAAATTAAATTAGTTAACGAAGCTCAGCTACGTCACCTTGACCCACAAAACCCCAATTACTCCGACTTTCTGCTTTTGCTTTCCACATTTTCGACTTTACTCTCGACACATATGCTATTAGAATATTCGCTACGCTAAATACCGATTTAATTAGTTCAAACAGAGCCGTTCCGATTTTAATAAGAGCGTGTCTGTGACATAATCGTTTTAATTATCCTCATCACTTTTTCATTACGTTCCAATCTCGGTACTACCCAACTTATAATGAGCGCAACCATTGGAAAACGAAGAACCAATTACACACGAATTTCAAACCTGCGACTTAGAAAAAGTACCACCAGAATTTCCATAGCACAAAAACGGCAATAACGGTACGACTAATCGTAGTACCATGATGGTACCCCGACTCTTATCACACGTACATTTTTTTCAGGATTGCGGTTTTAATCCCACTTGTGGTTGTTTAATTGTAGTACAAGTATGTTGTCTGGCTAAGAGTTCACCAGTCTGATCTAACAGTGGATGGGTGTTTAAGGTAACTTGTCCAGGCGACCACATAGGTGATGGTACGATGGAAAACAATCACTAATCAATTAATGGCGAGCGACGGTGCGGCACTCTCCAGGTGAGTGTTAATTACCTGAATTAATTAATCGGTACTGCTTTTGAACGTACGCGATAGTACTTACCTACTAATTATAAAAATCAATTAATCTGATCGCTGTTTCGGCGCATTTCGCTGGTAGAACCGGGGCCTAAATCTGATAAACCATAAAACTCACCCACGAAACAATAACCAACACCTTGTACTCAATACCAGGCATAAATTACATTTCCTCATTAACAACGTTGCGAAATGGTCTTTGCTGATATCATCAAAACGAATTTAATCGTCGACAAATGCACTACAAGTGAATGTGGTTTGCCCATCGCCCATCGGAATCAGTCCATCGCCCATCGCCGCCGCGATCGCCGGCCCGGGATTTTCTCTTACATAACGTTGCAGGCTGCAGGTGTAGCATTTGAAGCTAGTTTGTGAATGGACGTGGAGGTCTTCCGTGACCCGAGCGCGAATTAACCGTGTTAAGAGTGTAAAAAAAAAGATGAGAAAAATGTGACGAGTGATTAGTGTTTTTTCTGGTTCGTGATGTGGAATTGCGGTGAGTTTGACAAAAAAAAAAATCATGTTTATTATTTTGAAAATAGTTGCGAGCTATTTCAGGTTCCAGAGCTGATAGAACATTTATTTTTCTTGTTTAGTCTATAGAGCATGTTCGCGTGAGACACCCTGTACATGACCTTCCTGGTGCACCGCGACATCTCTTGCAGCAAATTCCCGCGATTTCTTGGCTTCTGTAATTTGATATTGTCCACGGACTCGCTTTCTACACCACTTGAAAAGATTTTGCAAGCGGAATATTAATACTAATTATTATAATATGGGCGCTTTTGCATGGAGTGTCCATCAATTTTCTGTTATGGTCTAAGGTCGTGGCTTTCACGAAATTGAAAAAATGGAGTGGTGAGACGGTGAGAGTGGCGAGATTTTGGCTGATTAGCATGACAAAAAAATCGTGTTAATGTGGAGTTGACATCTGTTGATACGAATGGATTTAGCTTTGTTTATTTGTGTTTGAGTTAAGTGAAATTAATTTCATGCTCAATAAAAAGTTTTAATGGTTTGTGAAATTGGATAAGCAGCTTCTGGAATTTTAGGTTCATAGTTGTGAGTTAATTTTTTTCAGAATCCTAAAAATTGCCAATTTCATTTTGTCATATGGGTGATTATGAAAAAATGGTAGGAATTTTCGAAAGTAACTTTAAGAGGTCAAATTCTACAAGAAAATGGCTTCAACTAAATTTCCAAAATCCACTCCAAAAATAACTGAACAGTGAAAAATTTGGCTTTTGACTAAGAATTTCCAAAAAATTAGGCATATAGTTTAAGTTTAATTAGTGTCACTCCGGAAAACAAACTAGCTGACCAAAAATAATGAAAAAAATCATATTTTCACAGAAATGATACGTTTACCACAAACAATAATCTCAAGCCGATACAAGTACTGGTTTTCAAAATCAAATTTTTAAAACATCTCAAAATTTCCGGACAAACTCTAGGAATTTTCTAGTAAACGTCAAACAAAACAACAAAGCAACCTCAACCATACAAAGACCTCCTGGCCTAGGAAGCTTGCTTTAACACCTTGCTTCATTTATCCCCAACAAAGCCCAATTTATGAAAAAAAGCCAGTCGTCACCGAAGCAGTTACCGCACGTTCAATAGCTGGAAACACGGTTTAAAAAGCAGAAAATTGTCTCATTACCGCTCCGAAAGTCCGCATCTACATTACACTCAACTTCTCGCAAAAAAGCCGCAAAACAAACACGATTTCCTAAGCTAACACACAGCATAATTTACGACTCCACACCATCTATAATTAAAAACGTGCGAACAAGGTTTTCGGATTTCGGCCCGGCTCTCATGCAAATCACGCAATTAGCGGCTCAGCCCCAAAACGAGGCCGCAACCCAAAAAAATCGGCGATTCCTGATCGATTAGTTCTTCGCCTTCCTTTTTGGTTTTTCTTCGCACCTTCACTTTCTCCGCTTTTCGTTCACGCGGATTATTATTGGCGGCGATCGAATTTCTAATGAAAGTAAGAGCGTTTATGGCGATTTTTACACTATTGAATTCCTTTTCAGAGTGATTACGGTCATTAGCGAAGATGTGAAACTATGGGAAACAGTGGCAGCAATTACAGGACGAGTCGGGCTGAAAACGGCCGGGAAATCGGGAGCAGGCTGCTGCAGTTTCTTCAGAGGACGTGGGAAGTGATAGTGGTTGATAAGTGGAGGACGCGAGTGACCAAGGGGAGCGATGGGGGTAGTGATTATGCGTCGCAGTACTCGCAGTATTCGTTTTGCAGCTGTTCGCAGTGCCAGAGGGACGATGGGTTCAGCAGTGGTTGCGCTAGGTGAGTGGGAAGTGATAAGTTGATAATGACTGTAAATATTTGGGGGGGGGGGGGGAGATATGTGTAAATGCAAACCGGAGAGGAAAACACTACAATAAAACTCTAATTTTTTTTTATTTTTTAGAGATGTAGATGGGGTTGTTCACTTTTTGCTTCAGAGCGTAAGCTAGTTCGTAAAATGTGGAAAAGTAAGGCTTCTATTTCCTGTCTGTCGTCTGTTTAAAGTCAGTTGCCGATTTTATTAGACGAAGACAATATTCAAAGAATTTCCCAAGGGAATTTTCATTATGTGTTCTTTTTGACTTCTCAAATCTGATGTTTTTATTTATCATTTTCAAAAATTTGGTGACATCATCTTAAAATTTGTCAGGTTGGGTCAGGTTAGGTTATTTATAAAGGTGTCTAAAAAAACTATTAAGTATACTGTACACATTTGAAATATACGCATAGCTGTAGTTTAACAATCCATATCGATTTACGTTTTAACTTATAGGGGTTACCACCAAAAAAATTAGAATCCTTTTTTTTAAGATTGATAAAATCTCGGGAACTTCTGGTCGTTTACTTTTTAAGAGTTTTCAAGAGTTTTGGAAACCTCTAGTGTCTTTTTTTTAAATATGTGAATGAATATCAGAGATCCTTCTAATTTTGTTTTTGAAAGAGTTTGAAAGAATCTTGGAGCATCCAGTGTCTTTTATTAAAGAATTTGAAAATACCTCGCTAATCTATGCCGTTTTATTTTTGAAAGAATCTTAAGGACCCTGGTGCATTTTTTTTTTTAATAAATGAACGAATCTTAGGGGCCTCTACTGTTTTATCTTTGAAACACTTTGAGGACTCCCAGTGCTTATTTTTTTGGAAAAATTTGAAAGAGTAAGGGAGCATCTATTTTTTTTTAAGAACATAAAAGAAATTTCGGGGCTTTGTATTTTATTTTTTAAAGAATTTGAAAAGATCTTGAAAATTCCTAATGTCTTGTTTTGAAAGAATTTTAAAGAATTTTGGAGGCTGTTATTTTTTTTATTATGGTGTTTTATTTTTGAAAGAGTTTAAAAGAATCTTGGGAGCAATTAGTGTTTTTTTTTAAGAATATTTGGGGCCTTTCTGTTTTATTTTTGAAAGAGTTGTAAAGAATTTTGAGAACTTTTGATCTCTTTATTATGGTGTTTTATATCTGAAAGGATTTCGGGGATCATTAATGTTCTTTTTTAATATGTGAAAGAATCTTAGGGGTCCCTCGTGTTTTACTTTTGAAAAAATTAAAAAACCTCAGGAACCTGTGGTGTCTTATTTTTACAAGACTTTGAAAGAATCTTCGGACCTTTTGTGATTTTTTTTTAAATATCTGAAAGAATCTTAGGAGGTCCTTGTGTTTTAACTTTGAAATATTCGGAAAAATCCTCGGAGACCCCTAGAGTTTTCTTTTTGGAAAAGTTTGGAAGGGTCATCGGTGTCGTTTATGTTTTAGAATTTTGAAGGAGAGTTATTGGAAAACACTTTTAGTCGTTTCCAAGCGCTAGTATTTACACAAATTTTTCTGATGCCGCAAACTTCAAAAACTATTAAATACAGTGTGGTTTCTTAATTTCATAGAATAAGCGGAAAGTACATTTTCTTATTTCAGTGATGTTGAAGAAAAAATAGGATGTACACCTCAGAAAACATGCATTTCTCTCCGTCAGTAAACAGAACTTCAAAGTCTTGTGCGAAGTTTTTTCTCATTTCGCCACTTACCATGATGCAGTTTTGTCACAATTTTCTCTTCGACGTCAATTTTCTTCTTTCTGGGTTCTTTATTTTCAAATTTTCAGAACGGGAAAAATATAAAAACCATAAAAAAAAAACAAAACTCAATTGTCCATAACAAAACTTTGTCTCCGTGGGGCAAATTAATGAAATTAGTGATCCAAGAATAAAACTGTGATCAAGTAGGTGCCTTTCTTCGACGGTTTGAAGTACTTTTTGTCCTTTCTCTTCGAGCTGTAAATCAGGTTATTTTTTCATTCCGTTAAGGTAAAAATAATCCTAATTAGTACCGAATACAAGAACGAAAGGAAGTGAATGAATATGGTAAAACTGCTTTTTGTGCACACTAGCCAGGCAATTTTTGTTATAATTACTTCTTCCCGTACGCTAAACCCGTCATTCATAATCAACAAACTTACGTAACCATATAACGTTAAAACTGGGAAACTATTTCATTGGACAGAATTAAAATTTTAAAAGTACGCCCCTGGCACGTAATCCTACCTGCTACCGGTACAACGTCATTTGGACCGTGTTTGCATACACCGATGAAATTTTAGTGCCGTCCTGAGAACACTTGAAATAATTTGTTACCAATTTTTATCCGAAACGCTCATAAGTTTAACTGTAACAGCAACCCATAAAGAGTCCGTACAAGACTTTCTGTTTTCTAAATAGTGGTCATAACATAAACATGCCCTCCATCGTTCGGTAAAGCATCACCTACATATCCACATGTAGGAGTAAAACGCTACGGTATCTCACAATACTATACTGATTACATTTAATTGCACCACAAATGCATCGTAATTAGCTGCATTGAATGCAACTGCACTTGTGCCATGCGACTAATCTTTGCAAGCCCACACAAAGCGCTCTTTCATCACTTCGCATACCCCAAGATCGTAAACACCGTTTAACACTAAAAAAAAAATCGCGACCTTCAGTTGTCACAATCAATCAATCAAACTTTCGCCGGCGATTAACGCGTCAACCATCTGCCTCATTATCGATAATTGACAGCTCAAAATCGCCCAGAATCTGAAAAATCGCAGAAAACTGCTCCACCTAACTCCTAACTGTAAAAACAGTCGTGATTGGGCCAATCGTGGTCCTAATTATAATTAAACCTCTGATACCAATTCGGGTACTGTTATTTCGTTATTTTGACAAAACCGTGATTAATTATGTAATTTTCGAACAAAAGCTGAAGCGCTGGTTCTCACTGAAATTAAGAATTAGCTCGAATGGGATGAGAGAAGTTTTATCTGGGTATCGCGTTCGGGTTGTATTCAATTTGTTAATTATGACAAGTCGCGTCAAATTTCGGGCCGTTTTTAACGAGGATGTTCGCTGGTGTTTTAATTACGAACATCTACAAGGTTAGTAGACTGGGTATTATTAGAACATAAACACATGAATATTTATAAGTTACAGATTATGTATGAGTGCGGTTATTAATTTGCGTTAACGGTTGTGTTCTTCCGTTTATTTATTGCGGAATTGTAAATATTTGGAAACTAATTGGCAGTTCGGTGGCAGATTTTAGAACCGTTGCATCTGCAAATGGTTTTGTTTGGAGAGTTAAAACTGATAGTGTTTTTGACATAACAGTGGTTTTGACCTCGGCTGCCGTCTCGTAAAAATGTCTTAGCGATTGTTTTCAAATTAAAAACGGTGGAGGAAATGAATGGCAGTTATTTTGTAAAGCAAATTTCGTTGTGAACTTTTTGTCGCTAACTTCTTATCTTTATAAAAAAAAAGAAATGATAAAACTGCACGTTTTTACGAACATTTTAACATGTCCGGGAAGTTACGAGGCCAAGGATATCATTAGACTATATAATACAGGCTGTCTCAATTCATTTCGTACCCCGTGTTGCAAATGTTTTGGTTTTGGTAGAGTCTGACACAACTTATTTTTTCATTTTTTGTAATGTCAGATCAATTAACTGTATATTTTTTTCTAACTAAAATGATTATGCTGTGTCAAATTTAAGAAAAATATTAGTAATAATCGTTATTATAATCGCAGAGAAAAGGTACGTTTTATTCACGATTCGAAAGTTTGGTACACGACTTTCCCACAAGGGAATAATTTTTTATTTTTATATGTCATACGAATTTGTTTTAAATAACTATTATTAAACTTGGTTTCAATTTGGGTCATTATATTTGTTCATTGCAGGTGTTAAGAAGGTCTATTGTTATATAATGTCCATTAAACTAAAATCCTTTCCTTTTTAACATAAAATTGAGTTTTAATCCGCTTGACGGCATTCTCAGACACACATATTTGCGAATTGTTGTTTAAATACAATTATTAGTATTAATGTATTTAAATTCTCATATATACTATACTGTTTTAAATTAAATTTAAAATAATATTTAAAAGTTGGATCGTTGGATTCAATAAATAGATAACATAGCTGTATGATTGGTTGCATAACTGTTAAAATATAATAAAGAATGTCATCAAAATTGATTGAGAGAGTTGGTAAATCTGAACTGGAATTATTTGATTTATATTTTTAAAAATTTATTTGGAATTATCAAAGTTGCTACTAAAAATTGCCAAATAAAAGTACTCTTTTCTCTAAAAGTGTGTTTGAGTTTTAATTCGACCAGTGCTAGATTGTAAGCGACTATGACACTTATTAGGTAGTATGTAGAAACTATAGTTGCATTTTAACAAACGAATGGCAATCCGGTATTGTTGGTTGCCTATATACTATGACTTTTTTCACTGAGAGTGAATGCCACCTTCACATAATGGAAAACGCGCTGTAAATACTATGGTTAGTAAAAGTAGATTAAAATAAACAGTGATATATGTAACATTATTTTAATTAATGAAAAATATGTAAATAGAAAAACATATTCATATGTTTTGTTCAAATCCTGTTGGACAACTAATTGAGTAAAGTTGGTTGCATAATCATTCTTGCTTATTTAAAATTCCTACCTTGTTAGTACGTACAATTATTTTAAAGATAGAACGATATAACAAATGTCCTACACTGATGAATGTTCGTCAGTACGACTGAAAGACTATAGGCAATATTAAAAACACTTCGAATAGTTGGTTGCATATCCATCACCAATAATACTTTCATTTATCGTGCAAATCAATTTTTACAAGTTCAATATTACGTTGAATCTAAATCTGGCTGTCAAATTTCACCTGTAGTATAACTAATTATAATTTATTAATGAATCGTAAATGTTTGCATTTCTGTGGTAGGCAACTCTAA